AGGTGCACGTGAGACCAGGTGTCCGGGACCCGGGGGTGGACTGCCCCCAACCCCCCCCCCAGGTCAAAGGGCTGGCCTGTGGGGCCGGGGGACCGGAGCAGGTCCCAGTGCGAGCCTGGCCTGCAGTCAGGACCCGCCCCCCCGGGAGGGAGCTCGCAGGGCGGCAACTGCGTCATCTCTGACCCAGAGAGTTGACACCCAGGTTTGGGGCGGGGGGGGGGAATGTTTTCATTTATGAATTTATTTACTTGGGATGTTCTAGAAAGGGCTAAGGAATCACACGTTCACGAATCAGTTTTATCACAAAAATGACACTTTACGGGACGAGACCCGAGTGCACCACCCGCTCCCCTGTGGCCCTCGCTGAGCCTGCGCTCCGACCCGGAGGCTCCCCGGGAGACCCCGTCCCCGGCTCGTGGGGGTGCTGGCAGGATCCTCTCCTTACGGGGCAGTTCCGTCCGTCCCACGTCCCTGCCAAAGCCACGCCCGGCTTCCAGGGGCCCCCAAAAACCTTGGCCCGTGGCCCCTCCATCCCGGAGCCCCTTCCTCCAGCCTCAGCCGGTAACCTCGGCTGCCAGGTGCCTCTCCGACCTGTCTCACCAGTGTGACCTGTCTCACCAGTGTGACCTGCCTTGGTTCTGTGACCGGTTGCCACCTGACACCAAACAGTGCGGGCTGGGACCTCTGCAGGGACCCCCCAGCAGGCTCAGGGAAGGGCTCCCCAAGACCCTGTCGTATGCAAACTCAGACTTGGCTGTTGAGACAGCGCTGGCCCGTGGAGAGCCGAGGAATCCACCCCCAAACGACGGCAGGTGCCCCTCAAGCGGGGCGGGGACACCGGGCTGGCTGGGGAGCAGGGCAGGGCGGGCGGCAGGAGAAGGGCCTCGGGTGGGGTGGACACGCCGTCACGGCCGTGCAGGCGTGTGGGCGCGGGGACGGCGTGGCCTGACGTATGTTCTCTGAAGGTCACGCTGCCTGCGGTGTGACATTTGCAGTCGCATCTGAGAGGCGCCTGGAGAGCACAGGTGGGGCTCAGACAGAGGGGGAGGGGGAGGCGTGCGCCTCAGGTGCAGGAACCGGGAGATTCCAGATTCCTGGAGGGGGGGCCGTGGGGGGGGGCATGGGGGTGGGGGGCACGTCCAGCTCGGGAAGCGGGACCCCAGCAGCCCCGGCCAGCTCCAGTGGCCATCACAAGCCAGGCACTGGGCGTGGGGCGGGCCGGGCCGCGCTCCCCTGAGACATCAGCTGCAACCACGCGTGACGAATGCCGTGAAACCGGGGACCCCGGAGCAAGCCGGAGGCTGTGCCCCCTCCCAGAACCCCTTTCTCTGCGGCGGAGTCTAGGCAGACGGAGGCCTTGGTCCTGCCCCGTACTGGGGGCGTGGCCGGCTGCGTCCGTCAGGGCCACTGCTCCCGCAGCCCCCGCAGGGGCCCCGGCAGACCCCAGCGACGGCGCACAGCCGGCTCCCGCACGTGCACTAAGTAAGTGGGGAGACAGGGCGGGGCGTGGGTCACCACGCAGTCACTGGTGCCTGGAAGCGGTTTCGGGCACAAGAGTCGGAGGACTCAACGTCGTCACGTATTCAGTTCCATCCTCCTTCCCCGCGCCACGAACGCCACGTCACAGCCGCATCGGAAACTGCGCTGGGCCGCCGTCCGCTCTGACAGTTTAAGCACGTGCTCCTCCCCTCAGGCCTGGGCGCTGCTCCTGGGAGGGGCGGTGAGCGTCCAGTTTCCCTCGCTGCCCTGAAGCACGGCACACAGACGGGGCCGCGGGGACAGAGGCCCGTGCGGGCGGCAGCAGGGAGCCCGAAGCTCCAAGGGCCCGGCAGCCGGCCACCGGCGCTGCGGCCCGGCCAGGCCTTCCCGCGGGAGGGGCGTGCGGAGCTCCTGCTGCGTGTCAGGACTCGGCCGCAGCAGGGGCAGCCGCAGAGGCGCGGCTCCCGGCCCCGGGCGGGCAGGTGCGCGTGGCAGAAGTGCCCTCAGGGCCCCGACACCATGGACCCCTTGCCCTCGTCCCTCCCTCCTGCCACCGGCTGGGGCGTGGGCGGTCACCAGCCCCCTAGGTCCTGGGTGCCCCTCCACCCCGGCCACCCCAGCCACCCCACACGCACACACGCACTGTGCTGCGTGTCCGCCCCAGGCGGCTGCCGCCGGGACCCTGGGGCTTCCCCTCGTTTGCACGGAGCGATACCGCAGCCCGCGGGGACGGAGGGCACAGTGATGCCGGGCGCCACACGCGACGAGGCCACAGCTGGGCCGACGTGACCTTTGCTGTGAGCCTCCGAGCGAGGCCGCAAACAGGCCTCCCGGCTCCCGGGCCGCTGGGTGAGCAGCTGCCAGCAGGACCCCAGCAGCCCAGTGGCTGGGGCTCGGGCTCAGTCCCTCACCTGCGCCCCGTGTGGGCGTGCGGGGCACCGCCCTCCCCTGATGGGGAGGGTGGGTGACAAAGGGACAGCAGTGCCGGCGGCTGCAGTGCCCTCACGGGTGCCCGCTGTCCCCGACAAGAGGCCTGGCAGGCGGCACAGGCTCCTGTGGCCCCGAGGCCCCCGCCGCGGCGCCGCCCCCACCGCCCGTCCGGGAAGCTAACGACGGCCCCGGGCCAGCCGGAGGCAGGTGCTCGTTACCGCGGCCGGAGGCCGGCCCGCTGGGGGACTCATTAGCGGGCAGAGAGCAGCGGTGCTGGACAACGGCTCAGCGTCCAGCCCCTCACAGAGAGGCCCCTCCAGCCCGGCCTCCTCCAGTCCCAGTCGGCACGCGGGGAGGCTGCTCCCAGCAGGGGCGGGGCAGACGGAGGGCCCCCGGGCGGCCGCAGGGGTGGTTGGGGTGCGGGAGAGGCTGGCTCCCTGGGAGCGGGGTGCAGCGTGACGGCCACCCTGGGTTCCTCCTCCAGGCACACTGAGGCCGGGGACCCTCGGGGGGCTCTGGCCAGGGGTGGAGGCTCTGTCCCGTGGGCATTCACAGGAGGGCTCCATGACGCCCAGCAGCGAGTGGCCCTGGGGTCTGGGGCTCTCCGTGGAGAGCCGGCGCCCGCCCTCCGACTGGGGCCACCCGCACGACGGGAGCGCACACCCTGATACCGTCGCCATGGGGTCTGCCTGCCGGCCGCTCGGGCAGTGGGGCCGTCGGGAGCCAGGCGTCCCCCCACCCCGAGAGGGGGTGGGGATTCAGGTCCCCGCAGACACCCGCACACGGACGGCACCGCGGCTTCGCTCCCAGGCACCCGAACCCAGGGGCAGCGGAGCACGGAGCCCAGCAACCCGCCCACGCTCCAGCCCGAGGACCCACACATGGTCCCCTGGCTGTGGCCCCCCCCACCCCCCACCCCACCTTGGGGGGAGGCAGGGGAGCGGTGGTGACGGTGGTGACGGAAGCTCGGAGCCTCGGGGCTTGTCCGAGACGCCACGGCTCTGGGACCCGCCTCCGCAACTCACACCTGGCTCTGAAAACAGCGCCGGCACCGTCACAGGCCGGGCCCCGCCCTGCGGGTCATGGTGGGTTCCCCTGGCGCGGCCCCTGCTCTCCCGGAACTTGGCCTTGAGGGCTTCTGACGACGGCCGGTCACTGCGGGCCACCAGGGAGTCCCCTGTTCTCTGGACTGAGCAGCACGGCAGCCCGGTGCCGGCCCCCGCCCCGCAGCACCCCGCAGACGTTCACACGGGGGGTGGGGGGGGGGGGCAGAGGGCACGGCCCTCCCCAGGCTCTGCGGCTGCCGCACGGAGGAGTCGTCCGGCGACAAGTCTCTCGGCCTCCCCGTCCAGCAGCCCCCAGGCCGTCCCCACCCGTGGGCCAAGCCAGCACCTCGAACTCGTTGTGCCGGAAACCGCCCTCCACCTCGCGCAGCAACCGCCCCCAGGAAGGACCCGTCCCCTCTGTCCCCACCCGGTTCAAGACGGACATATCTGCGTCCACCAAGTCGCAACAGAAACCCTGCTCCTCCCGCCCCGACCGGTGCGGCTCAGCGGACTGAGCGCCGGACGGGGAAGCAGAGGGTCGCTGGTTCGACTCCCAGTCAGGGCACAGGCCTGGGCTACGGGCCAGGTCCCCAGTAGGGGGCGCAGGAGAGGCAACTACACACTGATGTTTCTCTCCCTCTCTTTCTCCTTCCCTTGTTGTCTCTCTAAAAATAAAATATTAAAAAAAAAAAAAAAAGAAACGGAAGTCCCGCTCCTCTGTCAGGAGGGCTCAGCGCCGCCGGTGGCACATGCGCACCAGCCCCCAAGTGTCCTGTGGTCCCTCCCAGCCACCAGCCTCGTCCTGCCCCTACCCCCCCACCACGGCGTCACAGGCGGGACGGCAGGCAGAGCTTCGGGGCACCCAAAGAGAAGGGACAAGCCCCAGATGTGCCGCAGGCACCAGGGTGCCCGGCCGGCTTCAGCCGCTCGGGGTTCGTCCCGTTTCGGGAGGAAGCCAGTCTGGAGAGAAGGGCCAGGCCTGCCAGCCGGCCGGGGGGCGGGGGGGGGGAACGAGCACCCCCGTGCCCCCCGCTCCTCAGGGGGCAGGACCCAGGGGTCCCACTGCGGACGCAGCGGGGGCCACAGAGACCAGGAGCGCAGAGCTCGCTGCCCATGGGGCAGGGGGCCCCAGGATCAGTGTTTCGGGGTCGCCGAGGAGTGGGGGTGGGGGGACAGGCATGGTGACGAGGGGTCCTAGCCAGTGGGAGCACTGGTGCTGCAGGTGACGAGGGGCTGCACCTCCAGTGCTGGCGGCATCCTGGGAGGCACAGAGCACAGAGGGGCGCTGGGCCGGGGGTGGGGGGGATTGCTGAGGCTGATGGGAGACACTGGGTCAGCAGCAGGGCCCAGGCCCCGGCCCCAGGGCCTGAGCGAGGGCGGCCGCGGCCCAGGACACGTGGGCTCCCCGAGCCGTGTGGGCCGGTGCCCCTGCCTTCGTTCGTCTGGGCCGGGACGAGGCGGAGGACAGAGCCCAGGCGCCGACAAGCAGGGGGCGGCCAGAGTCCCCAGAGTCCTGGAAAGGATGAGCCAGGAGCCCAGGAGGCGTAAGGCCCTACTGCTTTATTTCAGTTTCACTCTCAGGAGAAAAATGAGTTAACATGATGGAAACAAGGTCTTTTTATGTAAAACAAACCCCCAACGTCCTTAACAGAGAGAAGGACAGTGAGCGGAGGCGGGGCTCGTGGGGTCACGCGGCGGCGGCTGGAGGCTCACAGCTCCCTGCTCGGCGACGCGACGGGCCCGGGGCCCAGCACCAGCCCCCTCCCCACTGAGAGCGCAGGGTGGGCACAGGGTCAGCGCAGTCCCCCGGGCGCCGGGCACGGTCAGAGCAGGATGTGGTACTTCAGCGCCCGCGGCACGCGGTTGATCACCAGCCTCCCGTCGTAGCTCAGCGAGGCGAAGAGCCAGGGGTCGGCCGCGGACCAGTCCACGGCGTACACGCTGTCCTCGTGCTCCTCGTAGGTGGCGATGGCGCCATCCTGTGGGGGCTCCTGGCTCCTGCGGGGACCGGGGACAGGCGTGAGCGAGGCGGGGCCCCCAGCCCCCCGTCTGCATGGTGGCGGGGAGGGGGGCGCATGGGGGGGCCTCAGTCCTGACAGCACAGCACCGAGGTCACGCTCCAAGAGCAGCGGCGGTTCCCAGCGCTCACGCGAGAAAACCCACGGGCGTGGGCGCGTGCCTGCGTCCACACAACTGGAACGCGCTGACCGGCCGGCACCAGCTCTGCGCCCCGTCCGGGGAGCCGACGACCTGCCAAACCGCGGCCCCATCCCCAGCCGGACGCTTCGGACTGGAGCCGGGACCCAGAGCCGCTTTGGGGGGACGGGTGGTCCCCGCCCCGTGCACCCCCCCCACCCTGAGCACTCACCTGTCCTCCGGACGGCGCTCCTCCTGGTCGCTCAGGTCGTCGTCGTCCACCAGGTGGCCGAAGGGCTCGGACGAGATGGATACCATGTTGGAGAGGATGACCCGGCTGTCACTGCTGCCCGTGAGGACGAGCTGGTCGTGCGAGTGGTTGTAGCGGACGTTCCACACCCTGGGGGCGAGGGGGCGGCGGGCACGGGCTGGGACCTGCCTGCCAGGGAGCGGGGGGTCGCCCGGCAGCCGCCCCGCGTCGCCCGCTGGACGCTGGGCAGTGTCCAGCCGAGGGCGGGTTTGATACGCGTTCTCCTGAAACCACCGCCTAAACCCCAAGGACGGACACCAGGCCCCGCTGGGGCAGGAGGCTCAGCCGCGGCAGGGGGCCCTGGACGGCAGGCGGGTCCCACAGCCACACAGCCACACCGCGGGGCCCGAGAGCAGCAGCCCCGGGCCGGTGAGCCCCCGACACTCGCCCGGGGGGGGCCCAGAGGGCTGAGCGCCGCAGTGCCGGGCGGCTGCTGGTCCGCCGAGCGGTGGAGAGTGCCCACAGCCCGCACGCGGGGGCCGGCGTCTCCGCCCCCACAGCGGTCACTGCGGCCACTCACTGGATTCGTTAAAACTGCGCTCGCCCGAGCACCCTGGGCCTTCTAACTTTCTGGTCGTGGAAACAGCGTAGCTTCTGGTGAGCAGCTGAGAGAGCAGGGGGGCAGAGACCAGGGAGTCGGCGGTCCAGGGACCCGCCCAAGTGGGGCTCCTCGTAGCAGCAGGGCCCTCGCCCTGCTGGGTTGTGCTTCCCGTGCTCGCACACGAAGGCACACGCAGGCACACGCACACGCCCCGCTCGAACGAGAGCCGCTGCTGCTGGGCGCACCCTCCTGCACCCGCGCCTCCCGGCCGCGCCCCGAGGTGCACACTCCGGAAGTTCGGCAGAGGAAGGGCGGGCCTGGGCACTCGCGCACGCGAGTGCTGTGCACACGGCCACCCACGCTGACCCAGGGCCTCGGTCCCCGCGGGCCCCCCACACGCCTGTGCTCGTTCCCTGCCGCGCACGCGAACGGCACCGTGCCCAGAGGACGCAACAGCTAGCGTTCCTCCTCCCTTCCCGCGCTCACAAATCACACGCACGCGGATGGGAAGCAGCGCGTCCTTCTCCGACGACGACCCAGAGCCCGGCCGGCTGGCTGAGTCACGGCAGTGAAACGCAGGCCGGCGGGCCCCCAGAGGGGAGGGAGCTGGCGAACGCCCCCGCCGCGCCCCGCCCCGGCCAGCACGCCCCACCCCGGCCGGCACACCGATGCCTCTACCAGTGGGAGTGCTCCTCCAGGGTCCTCACAGGCTCGGCGACGCTGCGGGTGTCCCAGAACTTGACCTTGCAGTCGTCCCCGCAGCTGGCCAGGTAGTACTGCTTGTTGGGGTTGAAGTCCAGGTCCCGCACCAGCTGCCCGTGGGCATTCTCGATGCAGTAGATCTGGCTGCGGGCGGGGAGCACGCAGGATGCGTCAGGCGGGGCCGGCCGGCCGTGACTCCCAAGCCCCCGGGGTCCTGGCCCCACCCGGCGTCCCGGGCGCCCCGGGCAGCACCAGAAGCAGCTGCAGACACCACGGAGCCCGGCGCCCACCCACATTCCTGCAGGGGCGCCGCGAGAAAAGGGGTCGAGAGAGGACGGGAGTGGTGAGGGGGCGGGAATGCCCACCACAGGCATCAGGAGTCACGGAGGGACCAGCAGGACAGAAAAGCCGCCACGGACCGGGGGTCAGCGTTTGCCGTGGAGGGCGTGGCCGTTCCCACCCACACCCCTCACTGCCCATGTGCAGCGCCGTGGCCGGAATCCAGCCCAGCCCACCCGCTCCGCGCCCAGAGCTGCAGACGCACACACGCACGCCCGACGCCCCAGCTCCCGCCGCTCCAGGCTGCTCCCCACAGGGTCTGAAACCCCCGATGACTGACACGCGCAGGGGACAGCTGCACCTCCTGGAGGAGGCAGGGCTCCATCGCCATGACAACAGCCACCTGTCAGCCGGCACCTGGGATGGGAAGCTGCTCCCCTGTGACCTGTGAGAACGCGGCTGCTGCATGTCGTGGCATCATGACTCACTCCGGTCGCCCGTCAGGCACGGAAGTGGTCGCAGACCACGCCACACACGCAACCAGGGGACCACGACGCCAACTCGTGGTCTCCGCTCACAGATACCCAAGTGGACGGCGACACAGAGGCCGGATCTCCGACGCCTGTAGATGGCCAGAGCTGGCGGGAGGCCCGCCTGGAGCACCGGACCGCCGACCGAGCACTGGTGGGCCACGGCCGCTCCCGGCGGGGAGGAGAAACCGAAGGAGGCGGAGGCGGACGAGCCGCCTGCCCCCGACGCACCGGCCCCGAGGGGCCCGCGGGAGGGGGGGGGGGCAGAGAGAGGACGCGTCCCCGGCCCCGCCCACCACTGACCTCATGGTCCGCGTGTCCCAGCCTCGCACGGCCGTGTCGTTCGCCGTGGCCACCTGGGTGCAGTTGTGATGCGGGCTCCAGCGCCCCGAGGTGAACTTCAGCTGCCCTTTCCCCTCCAGGGAGGCCGAGCTGGCCAGCTGCGAGGGAAGGACACGGGAAGGACGCGTGACCTCTCCCCAGAAGCCGCCGGAGGTCGCCCCGGGCCACCGGGGGGCAGCGCGTCCGCACTGGGGACACCGGGAAGCAGCCAGGTGTTTGCTGCCCGGCCTCAGAAGGCGGGAGTGCCTGGGCCTCGTCGGGGAGAAACTGTCACGGTTGGCACGGCAGAGGGCGGCCAGCACACTGGCAGACCCACCACCGGGCAGGGCGTGCAGGATGCGCCGAGAGCGAGCCGGCTCGAACCGGAAGAAACGGCACGGGACCGCACACGGCTGGCTGGCTGCCCCCGAGACGGACGCAGAGCCGGCGCAGCCCACGCGGCCGAGGCCGCCGCAGGAGGACGGCAGCTGGGGCCTGACCACACGCTCTGCATGCACACCCCTGCCCCCTGCCTTCGGGGTTCCCCGACCCGTCACACAGACGTGACCCGAACCTCAGCAGGCAGTGACGACGACCCCACTAGACGCCCCCTGGGGCCGTCTTTGGGCAGAACCCCCACCTCCCAGATGCTGGGGGGGGCCGGGGTCAGAGGGAGGTCAGGCCCAGGTGCCCTCTGACAGGGAATGAGGGTCATCTCACCGCCCGCCCACCTGCCTGGGGGTTTGTGCGAGCGTGTCACACTGACCAGCTCATCACTCCGACCCGGGGCTGAAGCCCAGTCCCCACGGTGACTCCTGCAGTGGGGTGAGTGTGGGGCTGGCACTCTCCGCCACTGGTCCCCGCCGGGCGCACGGCCCCCGTCCCTGCTCTCAGAAACGCTGGGAGAGGGCACCGGAGACAGGCCCCCGGAGATCTGGACGGGGGCCCGAGGGAGGCCCACCTGTCACTCCCGGACGCCGCAGCCCCCCGCAGCCCCCCAGCAACGCGAGAGCACTGCTCAGACGCTGCCCTGACCTCCGGGAGACCCAGGCCACACGCCCCCGGTCCTTGGCGTCCCGTTCCCCTCAGCCGCAGGCCCACACCCGTGCCGGCCACCCCGGGCAGCCCTGCCGGGCAGGCCGACCGGAGGCACCGCCCGTCCCCACAGACGCTCAGCGGGGACGGTGCGGCAGGCGGCCTGGGTGGCCCCCGGGTCCACGCTCGGCATGGGCCCCAGCCCAGCCCGGGCGGCAGTTTCCGCTACAGACCCTCAGTCTTCGGGCGCGTTCTCCACTTTCCGCTGCCGGAGAGAATCCTTCGGGAGCTGGGGAGACACCGCCCACCAGCACCCAGTCTGTTCTGGGTCTGCTGACGTGCCGCCCAGCCCCGACCGGAAGGTCAGGAGAACGGCGGTCTCCAGTGCTCCCGGAACCGTACGACACCTGCAGCGCCACCGCCATCGCGGTGGCCGGTCTCGGGTTCCCCCGAGAGTCGTGGCCGCGTCGGGCGAGCCCCCGAAACCCCCATGCCCCGGGCGGCCTTCCCAGGGGCTCCGGCGACGCAGACGCTGCTCGGCGTGCCCCGGGGTCTGGACCCTCCCGTGAGTCCCGCGAGAAAACCCGTCTTCACGGGGCTTTCACAGGCTTCCGTGAGCCAGCCTCTCGCAGCTCGGGGGACCGTCCTGCCTGCGCACTGGACTGGGCTCTGGTCACTCTCAGCTGTGGCCAGAAATCAACCTGCCCTCGCAGAGAACGGTGTCTGTCACCCACCATTCCAGACGTCCGAGCGGGGGCCCACAGGTTCCGGGACGTGGCCAGGGCCCCCGTGGGGGCGGGCTGGCAGCAGGCCAGGCCTGTCACTCACACCACAGGGGGCAGCAGGAAGTCCCTGAGCCTTCTCTTCCCGTCTGTCACCTGAGAGAGTCAGAATGCACAGCCCGAGGCCCGTGTCCTTCTCTAAAGTGACAAGTCCAGACTCGGTGGAGTGACGGCGTGTTGGGCACGGCGCGAGTCCGCCGTCACCTCTGAGTGCGGCTCATGGAGGTTGTCGGGGACCCAGGGGACCCCGGCGCTGTCCTCGTCAGCACCGGCCGTACCGGCACTGGCTGCGTGGTGACTCTGACAGGACCCGTGCCACCCCACGGGGGCACCGGAGCGGCCGGAGCTCCCCTCTGGGTCCGACGGCGGCGGGACAGCTGCCCGTCCTCGGAGGTCTGCAGGCGCCGCGCTGCGGGGAGGAGGCAGCAGCGTCCCCGCAAGTTCGTGACGCCGCCCACTCTGGTGGGGGTGCCGACTAGGGGGGCAGCGGTGCACGTGGGGGCCGGAGGGAGAAGGGAGATCTCTGGACCTTCCCCTCAGGTCCACTGGGAACCTCAGACTGCTCTGAAAATTAAAATCTATTAGAGAAATTTTTTTTTCAAGAAAATTTACTATTTATTTCTAGAGAGGGAAAGAAAGGAGAGAAACATCAGTGTGTGGTTGCCTCTCGCGTGCCCCCAACTGGGGACCCAGACTGCAACCCAGGCCTGTGCCCTGGCTGGGAATCGAACCGGCGACCCTCTGGTTCGCAGGCCGGCGCTCACCCCACTGAGCCACGGCAGCCAGGGCTGTTTGAAAGACTCACTCCTGAGTGCCGCCCTGCAGAAGACCCTGTCGAGGGGACGCGAAGTCAAGGGAAGGGCAAGGAGACGAGCACAAGTGCTTCCTCACCTGGGAACCAGGACACGGTGACGGGGACACGTCCCCTCGGCGCTGGGCCCCTGCCCGGAGCCCGAGGCCCCTGCCACCCGCCCGGCGGCACGGCACCGCGAGGGAGGCTGGCGGCGGGGTCTGTGCCCGGGGCGTGTCCCGCGAGGAGGGGCCAGCACAGGCCCGAGACGGTGGGGACAGCGCGGGGAGCAGGCGCGGGGGCGGCACCCAGGGGAGTGCCCTCGCCCGCGCCCAGCCGGTGGCGAGCGGCGGGCTGACGCTGAGTCCGGCCGCCAGGCTCCGGACCAGAGGTCCCGGATGCTGAGCCTCGAGCGCGACTGAGATGGGCCTGGACCTGCCCCTCTGAGCCGTGTCCCGAGGACCTGGGGCCGAGTGTCGGGTGGCAAGGACCAAAGGCCCTGCAAGCGCCCAGTGCCCTTGGAGCCCACTCCCGTCCAGCAGAGGGCGCTGCGGCACGCGGGGGACACGCGGGCCTGCTCCTCGGAGGCTCCCGCACCGACGTGCGGCCAGGGGAGGGCGGCCGTGGCACCCGGCAGCCCAGTGTCCTCTGGCTCTGCGCCCGCTGCACGCCACGGCGGGAGCCGTTCGTGTCCACAGCCGGTGAAAGCTGCCGTAGCCCAGAGACAAATGAGCATACGTTGGACCGGGGGAGGGGCGCCCCGCCGCCCTCGCCGGGGTCCAGGACCTGCGGACCCGCCCCCAGGCCTCCCCTGGGCTCTCGCTAATGGTTACAAATGGCACAGAGCCTCTGGCTTAATTGCAAAGGGTAATGACGCGGGGAGCCCGAGATTAGATTCCCCGCACGCAGCAATATCCTCCTCGAACAATAAAGAGCTCCGGGAGCGGGCGTGGAGCCGCCGGATCGATCAGAGGGTCTCGGCTTCCCGCGCTGCGGCCGGGGTCACGGGCCGCACCGGCAGACGCTGTGAGCCGCCCACTGTGGGCTCCCGGCCGGACTGCGGGGAGGGCCGGGGGAGGAGGCTGACGTGGGGCAACAGCGGCAGAGCTGGGGGGCAGGCCCCCACTGAGTCCTGGGGCAGCAGCCCGAGGCCCCCTGCCTGTGGCCGCCTCCTGCCGGGAGAGCCAGGGGGGCTGCAGGCTCCCCTGCCCAGACCAGCAGCCGAGCCCCACACCCCACGTGCCCCAGCACCCCTGTGCACAGCTGGAGGAGGGGCGGGGGCACTCCCCAGACGCTGACCCGGGCGCCCCGGCGAGCCCCAGACCTGTGGGCCTCGGGGAACGGTCTCGGGCCCCGGGCTTCCTTCGAGCAAGTGTCCTCCTTCACCCTGACACCGCGGGTGCGACTGGCACCGCGCTCCATGCAGGGAGATGTCCCGTGTCCCTTTATTCTAGTAAGAGTAGGGACGTTTCCCCTTGAATGCCACGCATGCGAACACAGGCAGGCCCACTCTGAAGTGCCCTCCGGAGGCTGCGAGACGCTCCTCTGACCACGAGGGCTCTAAGGCTCGGACACACTCCGGGTCCTGTGTCACCGATCCGTGGCCACCAGCCGCTGCCCACGCCGTCTCTTCCACCGGGCCAGGGCGACGGACCGACCGACACTGTGCGGCCCGTGAGAGGAAGGGTGACTAACGTCGTAAACCAGACACACGGACGTGCCCTCGATGCCCCGGCCTCGCACGGCAGCCTGGCTTCCCAGGCGTGAGGCGCTAAGGACCTTTACCTCCTCAAAGCTCTTGTTCTCCCTCCGAAGTTCTTATTTGGACATAAACAAATGAACAAAATTATGAACGCAGGTAAAAATCACACTTCAAAGGAGAAAACTTAAAGGCATCCCATGTGAAAACATACACGCGCCAATCAGCAGACCGTTTCTCTGTGAGAGACACAGCATCTCGAGTGCCGATCATCCGAGACACAGTATCTCGAGCAAGGATCATCTGAGAGACAAAGTATCTGGAGCGGCCGATCATCCGAGACACAGTATCTCCAGTGACGATCACCTGACAGTGACCTGACTCCAAAGTGCCGGCACTAACCACCTGCAGGTCCGAGGGGCGGCTGGTCGGGGAGACGGAGTCTCCTGCGGGGGAAGCTCAAGAACCCAGCTGTCCCGTCCTTGGAGACGGGACACTGGCCGTGACGGGTGGGCACCCGACCACGGCAGGGGTCCCGCAGTCCCTCTCCCACATGCGCAGGGGCTGCCGCTGTCTGGTGGCGGCACCCGAGCCCTGCTGTGCATGGGAGGAAAAGGAGGATGCACTGGCCGACGGTCCGTCGGGCGCAGACGTGAGGAAGGCTGGTCAGCGCCGGGCGTCGGCCTGCCCGAACGGTGGTCTGAACAGAACAGACCGGGAACCCGGGCCTCAGAAGGACAGGCCACTTCACGCAGAAGAAACACTCCCGGGCCGCCCCCCGCCTCCTGCGGAGGGGCTGTGAGCAGGGGGCAGCTGCGCCAACCCTCAGGGCTCGGCCGTACCCGCACACGGCCCTGAGGTCCAGTGCAGGCGGCCTGCACCCGACGGAGCCAATCGCTCAGTTCTTTCATCGATAACTCAATCCATTCCCCGATCACTTCGTAACTGATGTCAAAATTCCAACCCCACATGAACCAGAAAGTGCATTCTACACTCAGCCCAGGTCCAGCCCGAGAGTCTCAGAGGCGGAGGATGCAATCTCGGTACTCACCGTGGCCCGGCGGGAGCTCGCCTGCAGGTCCCACAGCAGGATGTGGTTGTCCGCCAGCGACATGACTCGGCTCCCATCCCCCGTGGGCTCCCACGCGACGCTGGGGGCAGGAGGAGGGGCAGCGTGAGCTCGCACGGGAGGTCCCCTCCCTCCCGCGCCCAGCCTGACCCGGCGGGGCCACGGCCCAGCTGTCGGTGGGCCGCGGCCCTTGGAAGGGCCGACCCCTGCAGGAGCCCTCGTCCCGCCCCCGCCCCACCCTGTGAGCACACAGTGGGCGTGCACCCTCGGTCACCAGGAGACGCCCACGCCGGCCAGGACCGTGCGGCAGAAACGCTTCCATTGCGCGAGCACCTGGCCCAGCTGCCCGACGCCCTCGCCAACACGTCCTCCCAGCACCCGACCGGACCCAGAGGGGGCCGTTCTGGCTGATGAGACGGGAAGGGGCCTGCGGCAGGGTCTTCGGGGGCGCACGCCAAGGACAGCAGGCTCCACCGCAGAGGACCTGTCCCTCCCTCCACTCCCAGGTGGGGGCAGGTTAGGTCGCTGAGCAAAACCGGGACCTCGGACGTGAGGAGCACAGGACGGCCCAGGTGCCTGCTAGAGCACTTCTATGCCCGTGAAGGCCCCAGTCCGTTCCCTACGGAGCGGGGCGCACGTGCACGCGAGGCCCCATACACTCCAGAACATCCCTGACAAGGACCGGGGAGCCGCAAGCTATGCCAGTGGCCCTGACCACAGTCCCCCCAGCCTCCTCTTCCCGGTTTGCTCAGCGACAGGCGGACGTGCAGGCTGGCACAAGTGTCAGTTCCACAGCTGGGGCGCAGCCCCAGGAGTCACCGCCCACTCCAGAGAGCAGATCACACAGCATCGGGAAGGGGGAACCCCCCAGAGAACCACGTCCACTCAGCCGGCGGTCAGCTGGCGGTCAGCGGTCAGACAGAGGAAACCCACTGCAAGGAGCGCAGCGGTGAGCTCCCAGCTCACGCCCCACCTCACGCCCCACTCTTCCCGAGAGCGCACGGGCCCCGCGTGCGGTCCGCTCCCTCCACTCACGCTCTTCACTCCACGCGGGAGCTCAGCACTGCGGCCACGAGGTGTCCCTCCTGAGGCCGGGTCCCCACATGCGTGCGCGCACACACACCCGGGAGTGTTGCCCATGTGATTGTGAACACCCGAGACGACATCACGCTCCCAGACTCCCTTCTGGAAGCTCCGCCCTGGAACCTGCCGAGGGTCCGAGGACTCCGCAGGCAGCTGTGCGTTCTTGAGGAGGGTCCCCGAGACCACGGCGGGCACGGCAGACCCTCTGCCGTCCACGGGACGGCGAGGCCCGAGCCCTACGGAGCAGCGGTGCCCGGCACCGCCGGGGACACGTGGGGAAGAGTACGCTCAGGACGACTGCGCGGAGGGCCCGGGGCGCGGCACGCACGCACGCACGCAGCGCACCGTGTGCGGCCCCCAGGAGAAAGACACGCCCCCCACCTGCAGGAACGCGTGACCCGGGCATCCACGGCTGAATCCCGGGGCGCTGGCGAGCCACACGGCAGTGCCCCCAGGAGCCGCGCCGTGGTCAGCGCCGCGGCAGGGGCCCGGGCAGCGGGTCTGCGGTGGAGGACCCCGGGCGCAGCTCTGCCACGCGCGTGCGGCAGGGTTTCCGTGAATGTGTCCCGGCCAGACGACAGCGGGGACGAAGATGAAGTGGAAGCGAGCACTTACGAGCGTCTCTCCGCCGAAAGGAGGGGCGGGCGCGCACGGCCCGCGGTCGCGCTCTCACCGCAGGCTGCTCCGGAGGACCGATGCGCAGAACCTACCAGGCCGTGCTCCCGTGCGCCGTGTGGTCGAGGTCACAGAGCAGCTCCAGCGCGTGCGCAGTGCTCGCCGAGTCGTCGGGGGACTCGTGGCTGCCCGGCTCCGACTCCTCCGGCATCCTCCACACGGCGGCGCAGCGCTGGACTCGGCTGTCTGCAGCTGAACACACGGGCAGCGTCAGCGGGGCTCGGGGCCAGGCCCCGCCCGCGGCCGGCCCCGCCCACCCCAAGCCACGCCCACCCCCAAGCCACGCCCCTTGCTTCCCAGCAGCAGCAGCATTAGCAGCAGCAGCAGCCGCAGCAGGGAGGCAGGCCCGCAGAGGCCCCGAGCCGGCACGCGCGAGGCCCAGCTCCTGCTTCAACGCTTCCTCCTGGTTTGAAAACCATCATTCTGTCTCGGGAAAAATTTCAGTTCCTCAAAATCGATTTCCTTCCGTGCTTCAACAGTTCCTCAACACACACGGCAGCATGGCGCGGCGGGGTACACAGGGTCACCACGAACGGGGCTCGGGGCTGCCCGAGGCTGGCGTCCGGTGGGTCCTCCCTCACCGCCCCGCGGAGCACGTCCCGCAGGCGCCCGGCGCCCGGGAAGGGGCTCCCTCGGTCAGGAGTGGAGCTGGTGCTGAGACCGCGCCCACCAGCTGCTGAGTGTGGGGCCCACGCAGCCCCAGCACGGGAACAAAGCGGGAGTGCCGGGCGCCGCCCCCTCTAGTTAGGGCCACACCGGAGGTCCTGCTGCTCCTCTGCGGCGACCCGAAACCAGAGGGGCGGAACCAGGAACAGAAACGGAAACAGCAGCTCACGCTAACGATCACATGTGCGGGAATCCGAGGGATTCCACACCACACCGTTAGTAATAACACAACAGAACACTTAACAAAACCGCTGACCACAGAGCAGGCACGTAAAAATTAATTGGCCCTGGCGGGTGTGGCTCGCGGGCCGGAGCGCAGTCCTGCGAACCGGAGGTCGAGAGTCTGACTCCCAGTCGGGGCGCACGCCTGGGCTGCGAGCACAACCCCAGTTCAGGGTGCATGCGAGAGGCAACCGGTCGATGTTTCTCTCTCACATCGATGTTTCTCTCCTTCCTTCCCCCTCTCTCTAAAATCAATAAGCATGTCCTTGGGTAAGAATAAAAAACAAAAAAAAACATTGAAAGTCAATTGTAGCCCTGGCTGCTGTGGCTCAGTGGACTGAGCGCCGGCCTGCGGACCAAAGGGTCACTGGCTGGGTTCCCAGTCAGGGCACAGGTCTGGGCTGCAGGCCAGGTCCCCAGTAGGGGTCACGAGAGAGGCAACTACACACCGATGTTTCTCTCCCTCTCTTTCTCCCGCCCTTCCCCTCTCTCTCTAAAAATAAATAAATACAATACTTTTAAAATGTTCTTGAAGTCAATTGTGTATCTGTAGATTAGCAAAAAAAAAATTGAGAAAATGAAATTTGAAAAGTTATTAGCAATCCCATTGAAAACCAAACACCCAACAGCCCCTGGCCGTCCTCTTCGTCGGGGCCCCGGGCTCTGTCGGGCCCTCGCCCCGCTCTCCTCTGCACTCAGTCATTCTGCTCCTGCCCCACGTTTCTCTCGGTAAAGGTGTTCTCACTGTGCGGACCGCGTGAGGCCTGTGAAGACGCAAAGCGCTCGCTGGGGGGCAGGGACGGCAGCCGGACACGTCTGCAGAAGGAAGGGGCAGCCGTGTCCAAGAGGCCACCGTCAGGGGGCTTGGAGCCGGGCCCCCGGCCCTGGCGGGCGAACCTCCGTCCCCTCAGGCCACGAGCCGTGGCGCAGTGTCATCTGGGCGGGGCAGCTGAACGTCCGCCCTCCCCGCCCACCCGTGAGCTTCGGGACTTCGGGTCCGCCTCTGGGTGCCGGCCTGGTGCCCGGCACACCCACTGTGGGCCGGGGACCTGCACCGTGGGAGGGGTGGCCGGAAGAGCCGAAGCCAGGTCCTGAGTCAGCAGGAAGGGCGCGCCTGGGGCTGCGGCGAGGAGGTGAGCTCCCTGTGCCTCAGCCTCTTCCTGGGCAGGGCCGATGACACCGAGACCAACACCAGGGTCCACGGCACGTGATGCGGCACGGGCTCACAGACACGCGGTCGGCGTGGCCCGCTGTGCCTGCGCTGCTGCGGCTCGTCCAGCCCCCCCCAGGGCTTCTGCACCCACTAGAGTGCATGCACATCCACCACGCCCCAGCGGCCACCCACAAAGCCGGCCCACTGAATACGGGATGGTCCCAGGACTCGGGCGGGGCGGTCGTGCCGCACCCCCCCCCCCCTCTCTGTCTGCGGCACCGCAGGGGACCGCACGTGGCGCCGCCCCTGCACACCTGCGGTCCTCACCCCCCGGCGGGGAGGCCACCCCCCAGCAGCCGCCGCTGCACCCGGGCCCCTGGGCGCCAGAACTGGCCCTGCCTGGGGCTGGCCCGCACTCCTGCCGCGACCGCTCTCCCCAATGCTGACGGCTGCGCGGCACCCACTCCGCCAACAGCGGAGCCCCCACGGCCCCTCATGGGGCCGGCTCGGACCGCGAGCCTCGGTCACCTGCTGGTCCCTAGGGAAGTGGAAGCAGAGGACGGGACTCGCGACCCAGGGACTCCCCCAAATGTAGGCAGGCCGTTGAGAAGAAGACAGGCATCCACGACGGCTGCACGAGGTGCCTCCAACCTGACTCCCGCGCGGCCCCCAGGCCCAGAGAGAAGGTGGGAGGCCGGTGCCGGGCGTGCGGCCTCAGAAGCCCGGGCGCGCTGCGCCCTCTGCTGGCCAGGCGCGCCACTCGGTCCGTGAGGGCCCCGGCTGCGGGGCCCACGGCAGCCTGACCGGGCGGGGACACGAGCGAGGCTCCAACGCCGGGCGAGAGCAGCACCGACACAGTCACCGCTTTACCGAGCCGTGGGTGCGGGCGCCGGGTTGGACGGTGGAGACGAGCCATCCTGTGCGCCGCCTTGCGGAAAGGGTCTCCTGTCGTCTGAGACGCTGGACGGCCCTGCTCCCCGCACGGGGCCGCTCCGGCTCCGAGGGAAGCACACGTGCGCTGCGCCCAGGTGCACGGGCGTGGACACCATCCCAACCGTCCGACGGGCCCCAGGGCATGCGCACAGGTGGCACCGAAGGCGCAGTGAGACAACTGTCCCACACCATCACGGCGCCCGCACACGGCTCAGGGCAGGAGAGACCCTCAGGGCCACGCCCCCAACTGCGGTGGGGGGGGGGGAGAAGGAGGGAAAAGGAGAAGGGGGAAGGGAGGAGGATGAGGGAGGAGCCGGGAGGAGGAGGAGCAGGGAGAAGGAGAGGAAGAATAAGAAGAGGAGGAAGAGGAAGAGGAAGAAGAAGAAGAAACAACAGTGTGTGGGCTCACACCCCCCCCGCCCCTGTCTGGTGACCAGGAGGCGACCCTGACGTGGTCAGCAGGAGCGCGCCCGCAGAGGCCCGGAGGGCGGGCAGGGTCTACAGCCTGTCCCCGTCCCCGGGAAGGTCTGACCCGGGCCCAAGGGTGTGGCTGCAGGTCCCCGTGACGGCGGCACCAGGAGGTCAGGGGGCCCCCTGTGGCTCTCCCAACGGGGAAATTCGGTCGTTAGCCCGGCGCCCCGGGGGACGAGAGGGCCCAGCAACCACCCTCCCCGCGTCAGGGAGCCCACTGAGGGCAGCCGTCAGCGGTCAGCGGTGGGCACCGCCACGCCAGCACGCGCACGAGGCGTCGCTTCGACGCCACAGGCAGGTTCCTCGCCCAGAGCCTCGGTCCGAGCGCAGCGCCTCGGGGTCCCCGAGGACGGGCGGCAGCACACAGGTGCCCGCTCTGGGGGCCCTACAGCCCGCAGGACGCCTGTGGCTCCCACAGGATGGCGAGGGCGCCGTGAGACCCTCCCCTGCTGGGGTTCCCACTAGGAAGAAGAGACACACCGTGTGTCCTCAGAGGCTCTTCCCGGTTCTGACGACCCAAAACCAGGGAGTTGACCGGGACTTCAGAGGAGGCTTGTGTTATACCACACAGAACACACAAAAAACCCACGGGGTGCACCTCTCTCTGGGTCTGAAATGTCTCACAGGCACGCGAATGCCTAAAAAATATTTTTATCTCTTACATCTTGGTATACTCTTGAATTTTTCATGATTCTTTTCCCCCAAAGCATCTGATCTTTTCAAATACACAAATCAGCCTAGTTTTCCGTGCGGCAGGGGGCACGGCCACCAGTGGGGAAAAGCGGATTTGGGTGGAAACCTGACTCGGGCACAAGACCCGTGAGACCCTGAGCAGACGCACCCCTCCGAGCCCGGGTCCCCTCGCCTGCACGGCGGCGCGCGGCGAGGCCTGTGCCCCGACGGTGCCGGAGACACCACGCTGGAGGCGCTCCCAGACCCGGGCCGCAGCCGCCGTAGCCGCCGCCTGTGCAGGTGGACGGGCCTCGGGCAGCAGAGGTGTCTCCGCCTCACGCGCTCACACGCCCACACGCCGGAGAGACGGAGAGGACCCCGGGACCACACTCTCCCTGGCCTCCGAATGCTCGCTCTCCGGTTAACCTGATTTCCAAAAAGCAAGAGAGGGTTTCCCAAAACACCCTGACGACAAATTCTGCGTCTTTCAGGAGGGGCTGCTTCCTGCACACAGCCGACCCGTTCTGCGGGGGGGAGTGAGGGTGACTGGGCCCGCAGCCCTTCTGTCCAAGCGCAGGCCCTGGCCCGCATCTGCTGTGACATCATCTGCGGTGACGACACGTATGAAGCCCGGCCTGCATCTGCCGTGACGACACACGTGAGGCGAGGTTGTCTGTCGACCCCTCTTTCCACATCCAGTGGAAACCCACGCAGAAACCCCAGACCCCGGACGCTTCACCGCGTGCTGGGGTGGGGACGACCTGGCTTTGGTGGCGGGACCTACCCCACACAGCGCCCCTCCCACCCTCCGGCGTGCAGCATGAGCACGTCAAAGGAGCCTCAGTTCTCAGGGGCGGAGGGGTGTCCCCCACGCCCACAGGTTGGGGTCCCAGCCGCAGCGCCCAAGGCGCCCGAGGCCGCGGCTGTGCTTGGGGACAGCACGCTCACGAAGGCGACTAGAGTAGGAGGAGGCTGCCGGTGGGGGGGGGGGGGGTGACTGGGGCTGCAGGAGACGAACACCCGCATGCAGAAGGAGGGCCCCGGGGGGACCCCAGAGAAGGGGGCGTCCATGGGCCCCTGGGAGGGGCTCAGGGCCACCGGCCCGCCCGCCCCACCGCAGCCCGCCGTCTCCAGGACTGCGGGGCTGGACGTGCCCTCTGTCAGGGGTGCGCTGCGGCCCGCACGGCGGGCCAGAAGCCCCTCGCGGTGGCCGCGCCTCCCTGCACCTGGCGGGGACGCCCTTCTGGTCCCTGCGGCATAGACCCCGGGCCTGGGGGAGGGAGAGGGCCAGGGCGGAAACCACCACCGGCCGTGGGAGAGCACAGCAAACTTCTCGTCTGGGGACTCGGGAGGATTTCCGCACGAGCCCTTGCCGTCCTACGGAAAAATCAGCGCAGGCTGGGCCCGCCCGAGCGCCCCTCGTGGCCTGGAGCCCGGCGGAAGGGCCGTAAACAGAGGGCCGGGGCGGCGAGGAGCCTTCAGCTGTGAGGAGGTGTCCAGCGGGCTGCTCTGGGGACCCAGTCTTATTTAACATCTCCATTAGCGATCTGGAAGGAACAGTAAACAGCTCAATTAATTAAATTTCCAGATGATGCTAAATTTGGAGGTGCCGCAGAAAGTCAATGAGGACAGAGGAATGGCGCTGGTGGGGTCCGGAGAGGCCAGTTACGAGCGCACCAGAGAAAAGCTAATTAAGACCTTCCCCACAGCCTGGAGCGGCCCGTTCCCGCCCTCGCATCCGAGGCCGGGCTCCAGGGACCCGCAGGGCTCAGGCGGACAGGGCCGTCGGGTCCCCACCTGCCCGTCCGACGGAGCACAGACACCTGACCCGTTCCGGCAGCGCGGCGCACCTCGGGCCCCTGCCCGGGAGGGCTCGGGGAGGGCTCGGGGAGGGCTGGTGCGGACACCCCCCAGCCCGGAAACACCGCGCGTCCCGGCAGGGTGTGCTCCGAAGACACGGGGGACTCTGTGCCTACGGGATCAACGCCCGCGGAATCAGGACACTCGGGGCGTGCGCAGGCCGCAGAGCGTCTGGGCCTCTCGTGGAACGCAGGCGTGTTTCTGAGAAGATAAGGGAGGCTGGCGTGTCAGGTCTGAGATGACCTCCTGCACGCCCGTGTCCACCGCGGCACCACGTCCAGCCGGGACGCGGAAACACCCTGCGCGTCCACGGATGGCTGGACGGTTAAAGACGACACACACGACCCACGCAGCGTGCACACTCCACACACAGCACACAGGGTGTGCACAGCTCACATGCACACGCACACACACACACACGCACACACACACAGCACCCCCTCTGCAGCCCCCCGGGCGTCCGTCCCCAGCGCAACGGTCCTCGGCCGACACTCCTCGCGCCCAGCCACTCCAGCAGGGCGTCCGCCCTCCCTGCTGTGTGTCTGTCAGCCACAAGAAACGAGAGCCCACGTGACGCTTAGGGGCTGAGACGGAACTCGAAGCGTCCTCGTTTCCAAACCCGTTTGCTGGGTCTGGGAGGGAGACCGAGACGGCGGCCCTGGGTCTGGGCGGCACTGCCTCGCACACTTGCTCGCTCGCGAGCACGCCTGCGGGGGTGGCTCTCCTGCCAGGATCGCCCCCCTCCCTTCCTTCCGAGGTGCGACCTCCTGGCACCTGGGTCTCCAAGGTGCAAACCCAGCACTCTGCAGCCCAGCACCCGTGCCCCGAAAAAGAGAGAAAGCGTCCCACCTTCTCCCACGCGCACGGGAAACACGGAGGCGGTCTGACCCGCGACAGGCCGCTGCACCTTGGACGGGGGGGGGGGGGGGGTTTGGTGTGCAGCCGGGGGCTCCTGCTGTCGCCAGCCGACCACGGGGCCAGGAGCCACGGGGCCAGGAGCCTCTAGACGCCAGCTCTCCCCCTGCCGCCCCTGCCCCCGCTCGCCACAGGGGCCCCTGTCGTTTCACTCCGGGCGGCGGTTCATCGGGCGGCGGTTCATCGAGAGAGGGCCCTGAAACCGCCCTGCTCCGGGAAACGCACCGCCGCCCTCGGCTCGCTTACACGACGTCGCCGTCTGAACTCGGACCCGCGCCCTTCCTCTGGCCTGGCGCGCAGACACACGGGAAACTGCTGCTCTGCAGAACTGCTGTCCCCGGACCCTGCTTCCAGAGCCCCCCGCTGGGAGCCCCGGGGCGTCTCAGGAGCCGCGGGCCGGCACCGCACCCCACGGGGACTTTCCGAGAGCACGGAAAGGCGGCACTTCTGGCTGGGAGGGCTCAGCACACCCCAGCGGGCTCCCGGGGGCGGCAGCAGGCCCCGGGGGGCACCGTGAGCCTGGCCGCCCTCACTCCCGACTGCTCCGGAGGGTGTCCGCTCCAGCCCCGCACGTCACCCCCAGCCGTGTTCTGCAGCCACTACACAAGCCCTGGGGGCACTGGCTCCTGTCACAACCGTGTCCTCACGGGGAGTGACGGGCCCGTCTGAACCCGGGGAGCGCAGGCAACCCCCACCCTCCCAGGGGCGATGTCCGCAGACTGGCCAGGCAGCCGTGGCTCCCCCACCGCCCGAGGGCCCAGCACATGGGGGCCGGGAGCCCAGCGGACCCCCCCCCCAGAGCCCAGGGCGTGGGATGAAGTAGCTGACACCCACACCACCGAGGCAGGCACGCCATCCCCCGAGTCCGCTCAGCGAAAGGCCGGCAGTGAGCCTCATGCTGCCACATGCGTTCCAGGCAAGGTCTCCGTGGGGTGACAGGATTTAGAGAAGAAAAGCCTGAGAAGTGCCAGAAAGCTTCCCGACAGCCTCAGGCCAAGGGCACAGCCAGCAGGGGGTGGGGGGGGGGGGACACGACAGTCTGCAGGGGGCGGGGTGGAAGGACCAGAGTGCTGAGGCACAGAGAGGGCACTGGCGCCCCCTGCTGCCCAAAGGGGGCCGTGGGCACAGCCAGGCGGGGGTGGCCGAGGGCTCTGAGGGAGGGCATGCTGCCCTAGGCGCGGCCACTCCCAGCAGCTCGCGGAGCAGGCCTGCCCGGCTAAACGCCCTCCACCCCTGCCCCTCGCAGCCTGGCTCGGGGGCCCTCGGTCTCTCGACAAGCAGGTACTACCGCGTCCGAAATGCCACGCAGACCGCCAGAAGCCAGAAGCGGGGCCGCAGCAGAGCAGGGACCGAGGCAACACGTGCGGACACACCAGCGACACAGACTCGGCACACCTCTGTGGCGGCCAGGAGCTCACAGTGGTGACGAGCACAGACCCGTGATGGCACCTGCCCGGGGCCACGCACCAGCCCCGTGGAGAGTGTGAGACGTCCCCAGTGGGCACACCCTTCTGCGGTGCCCCCTCGAGCGCAGCAGGAGCGGCGACCTGCCTCCAACCGCCAGGATGTGGCGCAGGTGACAGCACCACCCGGTGACCGCGGCGTCACACGGCAGAGGCGAAGGCGCCCTGGGGGTGCGTGGACCAGCCGACCCTGCGTGGGTCCGGAGGAGGCCTGGTCCAGAGGGCTGGGGGGCCCTCTCCGGAAGAGGGCCACCTCCGTTTATTCGCATGCACAGACACTTGTGGCTACCTCCAGCCACGGAGGGCTGCCAGCCCCCCTTCAGAGGGGGTGGTGGGGACACCGGAGAGGACCGGCACTGCCAGGCTGGGCGGGCAGAGGGCCACCCCCGTGCCGGGACAGCGGACCTGACACGGAGGCGGGAGGCCTCGCTGTCGGAGGGCAGACCCCAGCCGCCTGCACAGAGTGCCCTGGGCGGGGGCACTCACGTGGGAACCAGCTCACGCTCACTCCCAGTTGTTGGCAAACTCACTGTTTACACACGTGTGTAACGCACGTTTCCACCCCGAACACGCAGAGGGGAGACTCAGGGTGGGCACCCAGGCCGTCCCAGCCCCCACCGTGGCAGGTGGTTTTCCTCAGAGACAAGGTGGCAGAAGAAGGACGCAGGCCCTCCGCCACCGAGGAAGGGGGGAGGGGAGGACCCCCGGGCAGCTCCCGGGGCCCGGCTTCCGGTCCGTGGGGCACTGCAACCAGAGGCTCGGGAGGAACCAGAGACGCGCACCGGGGACAGGGAGACCTGTCCGGGGGGACACCAGCTCTGCCCGAAGGAAGAAACGGGCGTTTTGGAGAGGAGGGCGGCGAGGAGGCTGAGGGCGCCGCCTGCAGAAGGCACCTGGGCGGGCGGACGTGTGGGCCCGGGGTCCCGGTGCCCGCACAGGGTGACCGTGCCAACATCCGCGGCAAGGACGGGACCGGAAAGGCGGGCAGAGCGGGTGACGGTGCCGGAAGGCCGCAGAACGGCACAGAGGGTCCCGGCAGGACCAACGAACGGCGGAAGCGTGTCAGGAGCGACCCGGCGGAAGACTGCCCGGCGGCACTCCGGCCGGCACGACGGGCAAAGAGGCCCGACTCCAGCGCCCGTCACGGGCGAGACGGGAAGGAAAACGCAGACGGGTGTGCGCCACGGACGTCCGGTCTGCGCGCCCTGGGAGCCAGCTGGGAGCCAGCTGGGAGCAGCAGGCGGACACGAATGCACAGCCGCGCGGGTGGGAGGAGCGGTTCGCAGGGTAGGGACCATCGTGGCTGTCCTCGCACACGCACACGAGCACGCACACACGCGCGTGTGCACACACACACACACGCAGGTGACAGGAGAGAGGCCAGCCCGGCTGCCTCCCCGAGCGGCCCAGCTGGCTGCCGTGGGAGAACGCCCACACCCACGGTCCCGGCGCCTGGGGCACATCGCCGCTCCCCGCCCGCCCCAGGGCGCAGGGCTCCGGGAAGAGCTGGGACTGCAGGCCCGGGCCGTGCACGGGGCTTCCACCATCCGCCGCACCGCGCGCCCACCCACGCAGCTTCTCCCTGAACCCCGCGCCCGCACTGCCCGCAGGTCCGACCTGACAGACCGGCGCCACCCCCCCCCCCCCGCGCACGCCCCCCAGCGGCGCAGACGACGGCGCAGCACTCACTCTTGCTGTAGCAGGTGGCCAGCACGCCCTTGTCCGCGGGGCTCGCGCTGATGTGCCAGACCTCGCCCGCCTGGTGCAGCAGGACGTTCTTGTTGATGACGTTGTTCTCGTCGTCGAAGTCGATGATGTGGACCTGCAGGCGCGGCAGGGCGAGCGGTCAGGGCCTCCCTCCGCCCGACGGCCTCCCCCGCGGGAGGGGCTCTCACGCCCGTCACGCCCGCCTCCCGGCGCGTGCGCCTCCCGGAAGACGGAAGACGAGCGCAGCCCCGCGCCGCCGTGAGCAGGCGCCGCGCCGGCGCACCTGACGCGCCCGTCTCCGCGGGGCGGGCTCTGCGACGCTGACTCTGAGGGCGCTGCACGTCAGCCCCCACGGGAAGAGGTCGACGTGCCGTCTCCACGCTCGGCTGGGTAATTTGGGGGGAATTAAAATGATGTTCACATCCACTCTCTCTCAACACCCGAGTCAACGAGAAAGACAAAACACTAACTTCACAACTCCACCACGGATCTGCCCCAGGATGCCGGTCAGAGAATGTTCAGGGGCGCTGGCTGTCGTCGCGACGAGTCGGGGGTCACCCCGAGGTCCGGCAGCAGGGCCCGCTCACACGAAGTGAGCCCGGAGGCCGGAGCAGGACCCCACACGCCACAGCCTCGCCCTGCCCGCGAGGTCGCTCCCTGGGACGGAAGGGGCTCCGCCCCCTGGGGCACGTCCCGGAGAGCGCCTCGGGCGGCACAGCCTAGACACTGACCTTCGGGGGCGGGGAGAGCGAATCGGAGCCCCCGACTTCGGCAGGACACCGAAGAGCCGTGCGGAAGTGGGAACGGAGGGGTTTCCGCCACCCTGCTGGGCCGCCGGGCCCGCCGCATCCAGGACCCGACCCTGGGCCAGCAGGGTCCCGTCTCACTGCAGGGATGGGGGAGGAGGGGACAGCAGGGGGGGCCCGGCAGTCCGGCGTGGGGCCCAGGAGTCTGATTTCTAACAAGGGGCAAGGCCAGGACCTGCCAGCAGGGGGGGGCACTGTGGGACGAAGCGGTTCTTCGTCCGCATGCAGACACCGCGCAGACGGGAAGGGGAGATCACACAGGGACAGCCCTGCAGGGGGAGCACCAGCGAATGGTCACTCCCTGGGGGCTGGGCCGGGGCCTGACCCTGACCCTGACCCTGACCCTGACCCCAATCTTCGGGGCTGTGCTGGGAGAGGACACGTCAGGAGCCTCCTCCAGGCAGCCGCCTGACACTCGCCCCCATCTGCGTAAGCAACAGGGGCCTAGTCGCCTGCAGCGGAAACCTGGGGAGAGCAGAGTGGGGGCCAACGAACCCCTCCCTCCTGAAACCCCTGCCCCCCACCCCCGAGCTTCCAGTCCAGCAGGGCCTGTGTGCGTTTCCCCAGGGTCAGGGTCAGGGTCAGGGTCAGGGTCAGAGTCGGCGCCCCCACCCCACACACTGCCACGGGCCTCTGTTGAAGGGAAGGAATGCGGGCCGGCAAGATCAGGCCATTTGCTCACGGCCGCACGGTCAGGGTCAGGCCGTGAACTGAACCCTGGCCTCACGAACACCCACCATCCTTTCTTCTCACGTGGCCAGAGCAGCAAAGTGCCTGCCCGGCGGGCGGCCGGTGGCCACAGCCCAGAGCTCTGCGTGCAGACGGGGCCGGGGCCTCGCCCAGGCTCGGGGGAGCGTGCCCGGAGCAGCGAGAGGCTGTCCCAGCTGGGGGGGGGGGCCCGACCGTGGACCCCGGGCCGCCGCCCAGGCACCGCCGCAGTAAATACACGCGACCACAACGGCGCCGACGGCGATGCCACGCAGGTAAGTGTCCGTTCCCGAACGCAGCCAGTCCCTACAGCCGCACACCCAAACCCCGGTCAAGCTTGGCTCTGCCGGTGTGGCGTTCACCGGTGCAAAGGCTGCCGGGACCGCCGAGAGCCAGAGGGTCACCACACGAAGAGCAGGGTCGGCGAGGACACGCGCACTGGCCGGACGCACTGACCTGGTTGTCGTACTTGAGAGACTGCGTCCCGACCAGGAACCGGATGGCGTCCGTCTCCGCGGTCTGCGGGCTGAGGGCGCGTGCCTGCCAGGGAGGGAGGAGAGCACGGGCGTGGGCGGGGGCACGGAGTGGAGCGGTGGGGGGGCAAACCGCGTGTCCATCCACCGTCACCGCCGACGGTAACGGGCTGGTGGGGCGGTCACCCTTCCACAACGCAGCACGAGGCCGCCCCCAGCCCTGCCGGGGCGGGGGGGGGAGGGAAAGGAGGCACTTTTTTTTAAGGATTTTATTTGTTTTTAGAGAAAGGGGAAGGGAGGAGAAAGAGAGGGAGAGAAACGTCGATGGATGACAGAATCGGTGACTGGGAGCGACTGGGGACCTGCCCCACAACCTAGGGACGTGCCCTGACGGGGTCAGGCCGGAGACCTCTGGTCTGCGGGGCGACGCCAGACGGGCTGGACCACACCAGCCAGGGCCCCATCAGGCGTTTCAGACCAGGTCTTTGCCAGAGGGCGACGGGAAGACCGCCGACAGCCACAGAGCCGCCGGGCAGCAAGGTGCCGCTCTCCGGGAGCGGGGAGCACGGGCTGGTGCGGCCGTGTGCAGACGACACAGCCACGGCTGGGCCCTGCCGCGTCCTCGCTCCGGGCCCCGCAGCCGGGGACAGGCAGACGGCCCGGCTCTCCCGTCGCATGGGCCTGCCGCCCGCTCTCACTGCCCGGGTTCGGATTCGTTCCCTCCAGCTCAGCGAGGGGCGCGGCTCCACACTGTCCCAGACTCCGGCCCGGGGCACACGGCCGTCTCTGGGCGTCTCCCGTGAAACACGACCCCCTCGCCCGGGTCCCACCCTCCCTCGAGAGCCAGCGGCCGGGAACCGTCAGCTCCCACCACGCGCCACACACTTCGGGGAGACCGAGAAGCAGGTGTCCGCGGCAGCGCTCAACCATCGGGCATCCGGGGAAGAACGCCCACCCCGTCCTGCCCCACCTCTGCAGGCTCGCCCAGCCCCCGCTGCCGGGGGGCCGCCCCCCTGGGCCACCCTTTCTGAAGTGGGCTGACAGTTATTGGAGTCTCAGGCCTCCTGGCAAAGCTGATGAATTGTTTATGAATCTATAGATTTTCTGCCAGAAACGTGCATACACATGCACAGAACTCTGTGCGTGTCAGCAAATGCAGAGACCCCCTGAACCCCGTCCAACTCAAACGCCCCCGGCTCAGAGGAGAGTGACCCGTGAGGACGGGAGGTCCAGGCCGTGCCCGGAAGGCGAAGCCCGACCGACCGCCCAGCTGCGGACGGAAGGCGGGACGGAAGGCCTCCACTGCCGGCGGAAGGAAACCCGAAAGGAGCAAACTGAGTGTGAGGCCATCAGACCGACCCAGCCAGCGGAGCAGCTCAGGGAGGAGGCAGGGGCTCCTGGGGGGACGACGAGGACCCCGCACGCCATCCGCTTCGCTCCGGAGCAGTGCAGGGGGCCGGGGCCGCATGCCTGGACAGGAAGGAGCGTCGGCCAACAGGCACAATGAGGCCGAAGGCGACCCCGTGCTCCCGGGTCAAGGAGCCACGGTGCAAGAAAAGCACCGCAGATCCGGAGCTTCCCCATTCGTCCTCAGCCAGCAGGCACTGTGTCTAATCGAGGAGGAAAAACATCCTTTTTGCTTAATTTTATGTATTTATTTTTAGAGGGGGGAAGAGAGGGAGAGAAACATCACCGTGCGGTTGCCTCTCTCGTGACCCCTGCTGGGGACCTGGCCCGCAACCCAGGCCTGTGCCCTGAGTGGGAGTTGAACCAGCGACCCTTTGGTTCACAGGCCGGCAAATCAACCCACTGAGCCACACCAGCCAGGGCGAAAACCACTCTTATTTCAAAAGAGAAAATCTAAACCGCATCTTTAAAAATTGGAGTGAAACCCCATAAAAGTTGAAGATCCTTCTAGTGGCTGCCTGAGTAGACTCACAGAAACAGCGCGACGCTGGCGTTCGGGGTACAAAGCCCCACCCGTGCCTGGGGTCCCGCTGCTGTGACTGAGTGGGCGACAAACGGCCTTTCTGAGCCTAGTCTCGACGACGGTTGTCATGTCAGGGGTTGAGACGACGCCGTTGCAACGAGACTGAAATCTTCGGAGTACAAGAGGCCGAGAAGAACGCCCATGTGCCCCGTCTTGGCTCACCTCCTCGTTCAAGGGGGCAGGCGGGCGGGAAGGCTGGAGCCGGGGGAGCTGGTGCTCTGTGCCCACTCGGAGATAAAGACGCCGAGCACCAGGGAGGGCAGCGGGCCGGGCCCAGCCACACAGCGTCCAGAGCAGGAGGACAGCCCGAGCTCCCAGCCGGGCCCGGCGCCCTCTCCGCCACCACGGGGAAGCAGGGAACCGGAAACTCGGGAGGACACGCACGTACGCGGTGGACAGGACGTCACGGGTGGCTTCACCAGAACCCCCCGCGCCCCACCCAGGGCTCCGAGGGAAAGCACGTCCTCGTCCCCACAGAGCTCTCTCCCGGCCCCCGGCCACCCGCGTTGAGAGAGCCACGCCGGCAAGAGGCGCAGGGAAGCTGCCGTGTCCCGCCCCAGGAACACGCGGCCGCCTCTGACTCCACTCGGAAGAACGTCCTTAGGTCGTGCTGTCAGAGCCGTCCTATCGGCGAGCACTCTAGAGAAACTCGTCAACACCGGTGGGTTTTTATGCGGTCATGTTAGTGCCGAAGATATGCAATGTTTTTCAGCATAGCATGCTTTATTGTTTCAAGGAAGGTGAAAACGCAACTGAAACGCAAAAAAAAAAAAGATGTGTGCCGTGTGCGGAGACGGTGTGCGCCGGACCGGACCTGCCGACCGCGGTCTGCGACGTTTCCTGGTCCTTCGGACGTTGTGGCCCAGTAACTCTTTGCCGCGGGGCTGTCCCGCGGCTGGGAAAGTGCTGGGCGGCACCGCGGCCCCTCCCCACTCGAGGCCGACAGCGGGAGGGCGCCGACACGCTCAGAGTACCCACATCAGTGCAGTTAGCGGTGAGAGCGAGAGAGGCGTCTCTTGTTCTACGGAAAAAGCCGAACGACCTTTGGGCGGACCCACCAGGGACCAACAGGCCGCCTCTCCCGCGGCGGGCTTCCCGCAGACGGAGGCCCGCGGCGCTGTGAACGCGCCCGCGGGCTGCCCCGCCTACTCGGGGGTCCGCTCCTTCTCCTGCGTCGTCGTCCGCGGAGCACCGACGGCGCTGCCCCCGGGCACCGGGGCTGGACGACGCAGGACGAGGGAAAGGGGGCGCGCGCGGGGCAGCAGCGCCACCCGCGAGCCGGGGGTCCCCGCGCGCGCGCCCGTCCGAGCTCTGCCCGCGCGCCGGGGAAGGTGTCCGCAGCAGGGAGCGGGGCGCGGGTCGGCCGGAACTCCCCTCCGTCGGTCTGTCCCTGCAACTGGGTCCGAATGACCTGCAGAAAGCAGCGTTCCTGCCTGCAGGAGCGCCGGGGCGGGGCGGAGACGTACACGCGCGAGGGCAGCGGGCTCCGCGGGGAGAGTCAGGCCACAGGACGCCCCGGCGGGCGGAGCGAGGCGGCGGGGGCGGCCCCGCGGGCCCTGGCCGCGCTCGTGGGGCCTGGTCCTTCGCCGCCGCCGCCCAGGGCCTTCGCTGCACGGGCACGCGGGGACCCACCTGGAACTCCAGCCCGTAGATCACGGGCGCGTCGTCCTCCATGCCGCGGCCGCCTGCCCACCTCAGGCCAGTCCCGAGAGCCCGCGCGCCCTCAGCTCAGCGCCCATTCATTCCCCACCGCCCGGCCGGCGCCGAAACAGGACTCTTTCTGGCCCAATGCAGCTGCCGTAGGGCCCACTTCCTGTGTTTTCCTCCTGCGTCACCAAAACGCTCCTCGCGCGATCCGGATCGTGCGCATGCCCAGTGGGCTCTCTCATCCGGGTTCTCTGCTCTGCGGACCCCCCGGCGGGCGCCGCGAGACTGCGCTGTTGGAGGGGATTGGGCGGGGCGGGGCCTCGCGGGGCGGGGCCTCCCGGACTTGCTCTTGGAGGCTGTCGGGAATCTCCAGCCGGCTTCCTGCTTTGCCGCCTCGTCCCGAAGGCGCTCAGCTGGGGTGGTGACGGCGTCCTTAGTTACCCGAGTACCCTCCCCAGCACGAGGACAGACGCTTCCTATCCACTGTCCTTACGTTCCTGGCCCCCCGCAACCTCGGGACTAAAGAATCATACTTCCATTTGCAGCTGAGGCTCTGCGAGCCGGGGCCCGGATGCTGACTGCCCTGCCCGATTCCTTCGGGCTGGGCCCGGGGTTAAACCGGGGCCCAGCAGCATAGGCGGCCTGGGGAAAGGATCGCATTCCCAACGCCGGCTGACAGTGACGCTGGCTTGGCAGGGCTGGCGGAACCTGAGCAGCGTTTGCCGGTGTATGGGAATCGGCTGGGAAAGACCCTGGGTTCTCCCACCCCCGGATGTCCAAGAACCGTCACGGTCCTTTTAGGCAGTGCTCCCAAAGTGTGCGCCTGGACGCCAGGCCACGCCCATGTTACCCAACCGAAGGGGTTTGTAGCTTGGGGTGTCCTGTCCAAACCTGGGGTATGCTTGTCCTTACATGTTTTATTTACTTGCAGCAAATAGAAGGATTCTCTTCCCAGCCTTGTCTCCCAGAAGGGAGGCTTAGCCTCGGCTCCCATGCACTCTTCCGTTAATTGAGGCCTTTTTGGCAGTTAGCTAACCCTGTTCGGTTGGGTTCCTGTCGGTCTCGTCTGGCTGCAGCTGCCTCTGCAAAATAGTGCTCTGCATTTAACATGTAGCAAGGGTAGCATTTAGCAGCGAGTGCCCCAGACCTCGAGACCCTTGTCCTATCTAACACCCTTGGCAGACAAATTACATTGAATGTGATCCCAAAATCCCACAGCTGCACCCCCTTCGATAACCTGGGTTCCAGACTTTTCCAGGACTATGCATTTCTCCTCCATTTGTGTGGTTAGCTTTTCTCCCCACCATCAACCTTCCATTAGCTTTCATGACAAATAGCCGAGTCTGAAGTGGGTGTAGGAAAGATGCTCAACATTGCTAATCAGCAGAGAAATGCAACTCCAAACCCCATGAGGTACCTCCTCACACCTGTTATCAAAATGTCGAAAGGTAACAAGTGCTGGCAGGACTGGGGAAAAGCGAGTCCTTGGGCATTGCTAATGGAAATGTAAATTAGTACAGCCACTATGGAAAACAATATGAAGATTCCTCAAAAAATTAAAACTACCACATGAGCCAGCAATCCCACTTCTGTGATCCAAAGTGGGGGAGGGGCCCTATCTCAGAGGTATCTGCATCCCATGTTCATTCTAGCCTTATTCACAGTAGCCAAAAGATAGAAACAACCTAAGTGTCCATTAACAGCTGAATAAAGTTGTGGCTGGTGTGACTCAGTGGACTGAATGCTGGTCTGCAAATCACAGGGTCACTGGTTTGATGCCCAGTCAGGGCACATGCCTGGGGTGTGGGCCAGGTACCCAGTAGGGGGCGTGCGAGAGGCAACCACACATGGATGTTCCTTCTCTTCTTCCCTTCCCCTTTCTCTAAAAATAAATAAAATCTAAAAAATCTTTTTTCAAAAGAGCTGAATAAAGAAGATGTGAGCTTATATAGGTCAGCTGATCCTTGACCAATGCAGGGTTCGGGGATGACGACCGCCCCTTGCAGTGGAAAATCCACATGTTACCTTTGACTCCCCCAAGACGAAAGTAGTCCCTGTGTGTCTGCGGTCTTGGTTCCAGGACCCCCGTAGGTACTGAAATCCACAGATGCTCAGGTCCCCCACATAAAACCGCACAGATCAACGCAGGTAGTCAGCCTTCCTTCTCCAGGGATTCCCAACCGCAGATCAAAGATGATACAGGTGTTTGCTGAAAACGCTTGTTTAAGCGGACCCACACAGTGCAGATGGTATTGTTCAAGAGTCACCTGTGTACATGCAAATAAATAGAGTGGAACCTTATTCAGCCTTAAAAATAAAGGCAACTGCCCTGGTGGGCAGCTCTGCCGCTGGGTCAGGTGGAGCCTCACCCCAGAGGCCCGGGGCCGCAGACTCAGCTCCTGGCAGGGTACGTGTTGGGGTCAGTCAGGGGGCCGTGCGGGTGGGCGGTACAGCACATCCATGCTTCTCTCTCTAGAAAGTCAACATATAAACATAGCTTTTAAAAAAGGAAATCCTGCCATTTGTGACAACATGTATGAGCCTGGAGGAAGTTAAGTGAAATAAGAAAGACACAGAACGACAAATACTGCATGATTCCATTTACATACAGAATGTAACAAAGAAATTTGAAGTCACTGTAAGACAATGGAATATTGGTTACCAGAGACCGCGGGCAGGGGGGACTGATCAAAGGGCACAAACTTTCAATTAGAAGATAATAGGTTCTGGAAACCAAATGTACAAAAGGTAACTATAGTTGCTACTAATACATCCTATTTTTGCAATTTGCTGAGTAGATATCAGATGTCATCAAACATGCAAAAAAAAGGTAGCTGAGGTGATGGATGTGTTCATTCAATTGTGGTCATCATCTCACAATGTATACTCTGTACCCTTAAATGCACACAATTTTTACTTGTCAAAAACAAATTAGAATTTTGAAGGCTTCCCGTCAAGACAGTGGCATAGGCAGACATGGCTCGCCTCCTCACACATCCACATCAAAATTACAACTAAAATACTGAGTAACCATCACTCAGAACCATCGGAAATTGAGCTGAACGGAAGCCTGACAACTACAGAATTAAAGAAGCCACATCCATCCAGACGGGAAGGAAGGGCGCAGGTGCAGAACGGGCTGGTCCCGCACCCACGTGTGGAGGATAAAAATCTGGGAGGGATTTCTTGGGAGCGCGGAGTCCCAGCCCCACACCCGGCCCCCAGCCCAGGGCTCCAGGGCCAGGAAGATGAGGCCCCACAACTTCTGGCTGCAAACACCAGCGGGGATGGAGTCAGTGGAAGAAACTGCTGGAGCCCCAGCCAGTTCCTCTGAAAGAGCCCCCACACGGACTCCCCTACTCAGACTCATCCCTCTGAGCTCCACCACCAGGATGGCAGCTTGAAGGGCACCAGTGGTGCACAGGGAGAGACTGAAGGGTCTGGCATCAGGGCAAGCAGAAGCCATTGTTCCTTGTTTTAGTCCTCCATCTGCAGAGCCATGGAACTGGCTGGCTGGAGCCATGTCTGAGACTCCACCAACCTGGCTGGCACTGTTGGGCCCACCTTGGTGATACCCAGAGGCTCTGCCCCATCCAGCTAAATGGCACGCCCAACCTGCTTCACGACTTCCTAAACCCTCTCAAACAAGCAACAGCTGGCCTCACTGAACCCCTGCACCTCTTGCTAAATGGCCTGAGGTCCAGCACTAACAGCCACCAGCCTAGATTCACAGCTTGGCTTCACCTGGGAATCTCCAAGCCCAGCAGAGGTAGCAGCCTTCTCAGATGGCTTTATAACTCAGGCAGAGTGGCCCCAGGCAAAACACAGGTAGAGGCTGACCTTGGGCACCACCACCCAGGAAACCCCAGGGCCAGCACACCCAGTGGACAGCTATAGGCCATGTCACAGCACCACCACCTGCCCCTGCACAGCTGACCCTCCACAGAGGGTGGAGGTTGGTGGTCAGTGGTCACAGCCAGCCCTTACTGCTGACTGGTCTGGGTAAATCCCTCCCATTGACCTGCCAAAAGCAACCAAGGCTTGACTACAACAGGAGGGGGAGCTCAGCCCACACAAAGGGTGCACCTCGAGTACCCAGCTTGGGGGATAGGGGAGGCTGTGCCACTGGGCCCCACAGGACACCTACTGCATTAGGCCACTCTACCAAGACATGGAGTCCAAGCGGCTCTACCTAAGACATAGGAACAGACACAGGGAGGCTGCCAAAGTGAGACGAAGTCACATGGCCCAAATGAAAGGACAGATCACAACTCCAGAAAAGAGCTAAATGAAATGGGGATAAGCATCTATCAGACCCAGAGTCCAAAACACTGGTTACAAGGATGCTTAAGGAACTTAGTGAAGACCTCAGCAGCATAAAAAAGACCCCGTCAGAAATGAAGGATACAATAGCCAAAATAAAGAACAATTTACAGGGAAACAACAGTAGAGTGGATGCAGCTGAGGATCGAATTAATGACTTGGAACATAAGAAAGCAAAAGACAACTACTCAGAACAACACGGAGAAACAAGAATAAAAAAATGAGTGTAGTATAAGCAGCCTCTGGGACAATTTCAAGCAGCTCAACATTGGCATCATGGGGTGCTGAAATGAGGAGAGAAAGAGCAAGAAATTGGAAATCTATAAAAAAAATGATGAAAGAAAACTTCCCTAATTTGGTGAAGGAAACAGACATGCATGTCCAGGAAGCACAGAGATTCCCAGTCAAGTTGGACCCAAAGAGGAACACACCAAGACACATCATAATTAAAATGCCAAGGGTTAAAGATGTATAGAGAATCTTATAAGCCACAAGAGAAAAGCAGAGGGTTAATTACAAAGGAGTTACCATAAGACTATCAGTTTCTCTCTCAAAAGAAAGTTTGCAAGCACAAAGGGGCTGGAAAGAAGTGTTTGAAGTGTTGAAATGCAAGAACTTGCAACCAAGATGACTCTATCCAGAAAAGCCATGCATTTAGAATGGAAGGGCAGATACAGTGCTTCCCAGGCAAGGTAAAGCTAAAGGAGTTCATCACCACCAAGACATTCTTACATGAAATGTTAAGGGGACTTATTTAAGAACTAGAAGATCAAAACTATGAATATGAAAGTGACAACAAACTCACAACTATGAACAACTGAATCTAGAAAACAAAAACAAACTAAGCAAACAACCAGAACAGGAACAGAATCATCGATATGGGGATCACCTGGAGGGTTATCTGCAGGGAGGCCGATGGGGGAGAATAGAGGAAAAGGCACAGGGAAGAAGCAGCACAATTGGTAGGCACAAAACAGACAGGGGAGGTTAAAAATAGTACAGAAACGGAGAAGCCAGAGAACTGGCACCCACAACCCATGGACATGAACTAAGGGAGGGGAGTGCTGGAGGGAAGGGGGTACCAGGTGGAAGGGGGCAACGGAAAAAAATGGTACAACCGTAAAAGCATGACCAATAAAATATCCTTTAAAATAAATTAAAATGTTTAATAATGAAAAGGAAGAAAAGGAAGAAATGGCCTGACTCTGTAGTATTCCAGCGCCTCAGGCCTTGTGCTGGGCAGAGTTCAGGCTAGACGGATATCTGCTGGATGAATGAGGGGATCTGGGTACTGTTGGTGTTATTGTTCCTACCATTTTTACCACTAATGTTATCATTCAACTAGTACAAATGCACGGCAGGAAAAGCTGAAAATACAGGTAGGCTCAATTCCCTTAAAATGCAGTCTTTCTAGGGTGCTTTGGCCCAGAGTGCAGAGGGCCGGCAGAACCACCTCCCTGCAGCGGCCCTTTGGACACTGGTTGGTTTGTAGCCTCCTGTTCCGCTCCCAGGTGTGGGGTCACCGCGCCCCGCCCATTTCCCCTCCGGCGTTCACACCTTGAGGCCCAGGCCCCGCCCCCAGCCGCGCCCGCGCGCAGAGGGGGCGCCAGCTCCCGCACTGGGCATGCGCGAGCGCCGCCGCCGAGGGCCTGCGTGCGCAGGCGCCGCAGGAGGTGCTGCGCTGCCTCCCGGTTCCGGGCTTCCTCCACTTTCTCCGGGCGTCTGGCTCCTGCGGCGGGTGACCCCGTCCCCCGCGCCGTGGGCGTGTGGCAGGTGAGGACCGGGCTGCGGGGCGGGGGTCGGGCCGGCCCGGGTCCGCAGCTCGCAGCGGGGGGTGGGGCGCGTCGCTCGCGGGCCAGCCGTCGGCGGCAGAGACGGACGGTGGTCCCCGACCCGGGCCCGGCTCCGGCTCTCGGCGGCCCGTGGGGACCCGCCCGCCACGTCCCCGGCGGAGGGAGGCCAGAGGCGGTGGTGTGCGACAGCATCTGAGTCCCCGGGCAGCGCGGGCTGGCACGGCCCACCCCGTCCCTCCCGGAGCCGCGTCGGGGCTGGGGGGGCCGCGGCGCGCGGCGCCGTCGACGCCGAGAACCCACCTGCTGAAAAGGAGCCACCGGCCCAAGGCGGCGCTAACGCACGGAATTCTCCTCTTCTCCCCCCGGCACAAGGCTCGCACCCCAGAACCCCACGCTCTTGGACCCCAGTTCCTGCCTCTTGACGGCTACTCGGGGACACTGCCTCTTTGGGGTTCAGATAATTCACTCCTCGTTGTTTTCCCCCCATACGTTCGGAGGACAGTGTCGACGGAGGACACGGAGTCAGGCCCTGCGATGGGGTGGGAGCCGAGGGGGCATGCAAACGGCGTGCAGCTGTTTCCTTGCGTCTGGCCCCCAGTGCTGCAGGGTCCTCGCCGGCCCCTCGTTGTGTCAGCCCTGTGTGGTGGGTGGGGGTGTGAAATGGTGATGAAAATGGTTCGGTGGTCCCTCAAACAACGGAGGGGAGAGTTGCCGCGCGGTCCGGCCAGTCCACCTCTGGGTGTGTACCCCGAAGACTTGCCAGCAAGGGCTCCAGGGGACCTTTGGTCACCCCGTTCACAGCAGCACGTTCGCAGTACTCGAGATGAGAGCGGCCCGAGTGGCCATCAGCGGGAAGACAGGTGACCAGATGTGGTCCCTCCGTCCAGTGGGCTGTTCTTCAGCCTTGGCAGTGGAGGGAGTTCTGGCGCCGCCCACCAGCGGATGCACCTGCGGGTGGCAGGCTAAGTAAGACACGCCAGTCCCAGGGGGACACGTGCCGTGTGGTTCCACGTGCACCAGCCCCCAGGGTCCTCCGACTGGGAGACAGGAGGGTGGTGGCTGCCAGGGGCCGGGGAGGGGCAGCGGGCAGTTGTTGGACGGGGGCAGGGTCTGCGTCGCAGGCGAGGAGAGGTCCGGAGGTGCGCGCTGGTGGCAGTCGCACAGCCTGAACGTACTCCCTGCCGCCGAGCTGTGCACCTGGAAGGAACTCAGGCCCTGGCCGGCGCGCCTCAGTGGGCTGGGCGTCGTCCCGCCGAGTGAAGGTGGGTTGGGTTCCCCGGGGGGCCACGTGCTTGGGTTGTGTACTCAGTCCCTGGTCAGGGGGCGCAGGAGAGGCAACCGATCGATCTTTCTCTCCCTGTCTTTCTCCTTCCCATCCCCTCTCTCTAAAAACATACATAAAATAAAAGAGAAATGACCAAGAAGGCGAAGTTGATTACGCTCTGGGTCTTTTACCGCAACAAGGCTGCAGAAGTGGCGTCTTTTGAGTCTCAGTGTGAACATGTCGCTGATAAACCGTCGTTTTTCTAGAGCAGCGTGAGGGTCACCGCGGAACTGAGCGGCGGGTGCGGAGACGCCCCGCCCCGCAGCCGGCCCCACTCGCAGCTTCCCCACCAGCGGGGCCTTGGGCCACCGCCTGCCCTGGCACGTCGCCCAGAGTCTGCCGTGGACACTAGGGGCTGCTCTTGCCGTTGGACTTCCTGCGGGTTTAGACAAATGTGTAGTGGCCCGTGTTTACCATCATGATGACATTTGCCATTTTTATAGATTCAAGACAATAGGAGGGTAAAAGTCCGATAGCAACGGAGACGGCAGGCTGCTGAGCTCGGTGTGTCTTGTTTCAGAGACCATGGAGGAGGCCCAGGCCCCGAGCCTGACCGCGGAGCCGGCCGAGGGGCGCGCCCAGAGCCCGCAGGCGCAGGACCCGGGGCTGCTGTACCAGGAGGAAACCATCGATCTCGGGGGGGACGAGTTCGGGTCGGAGGAGATCGAGACCGTGTCGGAGGACTCCAGCACCTTCGTGGACAAGCTCAGTGAGCACATGATGGAGAGCGTGCTCATTTCCGACTCTCCCAACAACAGCGAGGACGACGCGGGCGACCTTGGCGGCGTGCAGGAGGCCGCCGAGGGCAGCGTGGACCCCAGGCTGGACGGTGCCACCGGCCAAGGTGTGGCCCACACTCCGAGGCGGGATGGCGAGAGTGACGCAGATGAGGCACCTCAGGACGTGACCCCCGGCGTGAGCCCCGGGAGCCGGGCCTCCTCGGAGGAGGACCTGGGGCCGGAAGGCAGAGGCCCGCGCACCTGCGCGGACGAGGGCGCGGGGGACTCGGGCTCCAGGAGCCAGGGCCCGCTCCCCAGGGCGCCAGGCCCGTCCTCCGGGCAGCCCTCGCCCAAGGACGAGCCCGTGCCCGTGTGCACCATCTTCAGCCAGTCGCAGCCTGCGGCCGCCCCGTCCCCCCCCTTTCTGCAGGACGGCTTCGAGTCCCAGGTGGTGAAGTCGCCGAGTTTCAGCGGGGCCGGCCGGCCGGCCGCCCGGACCCCTCCCCCGGCGGTGCAGCCCAGCCCCAGCCTGAGCACGTTCTTCGGGGAGACGGCCAGCACCAACTCCCTGGCCTCCGAGTTCTTTGACTCGTTCACAACATCCGCGTTCATTTCCGTCAGCAACCCCAACGCGGGGGCTGCCGTTCCAGAGCCGCTGTCCCCGCGTGCGTCCCCGGTGGCAGGGGTCCCCCCGGGTCCCGTGGAGCCCCGCCCCACCGTGTCAGAGCTGGCCAGCCCCACGGCCGCGCTGGAAACCCCCCGGTCTCCAAAGCCGTTCCCGCAGATCCAGGCCGTGTTCGCGGGGAGCGAGGACCCCTTCGCCACGGCCCTGAGCATGAGCGAGATGGACCGGCGGAGCGACGCCTGGCTGCCCGGGGAGGGGACCAGGGACATCCTGAATTCGGTGGCCGCCCAACAGTACAGCACCGTGTTCATAGACAAGGAGAACCTCACCATGCCCGGCCTCAAGTTCGACAACATCCAGGTGAGGCCCCGGGTCTCCGAAGGGACCGCGTGCTCTCGACTCCCCTCCCCCAAACGGATGCCCCCGGGGCCCCGGCTCGTCCTTTTCGAGGGTCTCCGCGCCCCGTGTGTGTGTCCGTGAGCAGTCGGCCCGCTGTGCATCGACGGTCCTGTGTCTGAGGAGCGCCTAGACCTCCGACGGCAGGTCCCTGTGATGTCTGAGCCCCTGTCCATGTCCCCAGCCCCGGGGAGTCGGGGTCCTGTCGTGGCTGGCTCTCTGCAGCAGCTCCGACCGTGTGACCGGTTTGTCGTGGCCCTGGGCCCCAGGAGGACGGGTCTCCCAGTCCCTTCCTGAACTCTGGAGGAACATGTGTGTGTGTTGTGTGTTACGTGCTTGAGGTAGTAAAAGGTCTTACAGGTCCCGTGAGAGAAGCAAGAGTGCCCCCCAAAGTAATAAATCGTGGAAGTGTACAAACGTTGTGTTGGAGTACGTGGTAGTGTAAGTTCAGGCCCACTGGTACGGTGAAATTATTTCCGTTGTTCAGTGTCTGCTTAGGTTTACTCCGAGTTGCTGGCCTGTCTCAGGCAGCCCTGATGGGACCGTAATTTAGTGCAGACCTTTTAAAGTTAAGTTGTGAAATCTGCACCCCAGTCCTGCTCTCGGGAGTCTTTAGAAGGGGGTGGTCTTGCTGGCGTGCAGGCGCCCAGCCTCTGGGGTGTCCGTCGGGGCGTGGCTGCTCCTCGCAAACCCTGCAGGACGGTCCGAAGCCCTCTAGCGGGGGACTGGTGGGAACCGTCCGAGTCGTCTTTGCACTGGAGTATTCATGTGGGTATTAAAAGTGGTGCTGCACTGGAACGTGTAACGAGGGTCCCGTCTCAGGGGTCAAGTGGGAAACCAGACGCCAGACAGCGCAGGGCAAGCTGTAACCAGGCAGCCAGTGGGGCCCCACCCCTGCCCCCTCGAGGCTGAGTTCCAGGGCAAAGGTTTGGTGGGAAAGGAAAGGGGTCTTCATTCACAAGCTTCCCAGTTGGGGGGATGACAGCTCCCCACAGGCGTTCGTCACCTGAGCCTGTCAACTAAGGCTTAACTCTTTAACTCCTTAGTCACAGCTTTAATCACTTAAACCTGTCCATCAAGGCTCACCCTTCAACACCCGCGCTCTCTAGTCACTCCCCTTATTGGTTTCCCTTGTCCCCTTGTCACGGAAGAGAGAGGCTCCGGGACCGGCGCAGGGTCTGTGCCCGGCACCTTTCATGGGCCACAGCCCCCTGCAGGGAGAGGGGCTCAGAGCCCCCCCCCCCAGCGCATTGCCCGCGCTCTGCCACTCCTTGGTGGGCCCGGCAGCCGTGGGCTCGGCCGTGGCGTGCGCTGCCCTGCTGCCCACAGCTCTCTCAGCACCTTCTGTCGGGGACCCCTGTGCCGGAGCCCTCGGGCTTGGAGGCTCCCGGCTCGGACGAGCTCGCGTGCCCTCACCCCCTTAGCCACAGGGGTGCTGCGGGTGCAGACGGGCCCGGCTCCTGGCTCCCGTCCTGGGCTCGCCCCATGCCCCACCAGCTGAGAGACTCCTCCTGGTCATCGCAGGCCGCCCGAGACCCTGCTCACCCTGGCCTCCCCGAGCACCCTCCCCCAGCCCCATCCTCCACCTTCCTGTTAAGTCATGGCCTCCACCCTGCCTGCAGGGGGTCTGACCTGAGGAGTCGAGTCGTGAGGCCGCAGGTCCCTGTGCTGTGGCTCACAGGGACCTGGCCCCCCACCAGCGTCCCCTGTCGGCAGTGGTCCGGGCTTGGGGGTGAATGCAGGTGCCCCCTCCCTGGGCCCAACGGGGCTGATGGCACGTGAGCTGCCGCTCCTCGTCCCCAGGGGTGTCACCACGCACCCGCCCGGGGCCTCTGTCCCAGCCGGTGCAGCAGTGCTGCGGGCCACCGCCCCTTCCGGAGAACGAGCAGGTCCCAAGTGCACGGTCTCGGAGGACGGCCGTGCTGGAGCGCCTGGCCTGGCACCGCCTCCTGTGCCCCAAGCGCTCTGTGACCTGCACACGCCGGCCAGCTGGCGGGGGCGGGGGCGGGGCAGATGTCGGCTGGAGACGGGTTCTGGTGGCTGAGTTTAGTCGGCGTCTTACCGCCCTGACGTGTCTCCCCGCATTCTCTCCAGGGAGACGCGGTGAAGGACTTGGTGCTCCGCTTCCTGGGCGAGAAGGTGGCGGCGAAGAGGCAGGTCCCGAACGCCAGCTCGGTGGAGCAGTCCTTCGTGGGGCTGAGGCAGCTGATAGTGAGTGGGGCGCTCGGTCCGCGCGGTCGCCGTGCCTGTGACGGGCCCCGCCTGCCTGCGCGGCATCTTTCCCCAGGTTAACTGCTCGGATGTGCCACCCAGGGCCCTCGCAGGTGCGTGCGGTGCTGCTGCGTGCCGGCCCTGCGTGGCAGAAGGCACCACGCCAACACACCGTATGTCCCGTCAGCTTAAAAGCCGTTATTTTAAGTGATCGGACTGCTTGAAGCAGCAGGTACTTTGATTAGATACGCTTCATCACATGCAGTAACTAGAGACGAGTAACCTCACACTGGTCCTTTAAAAATACTCTGCTCTCTGCGCTGGGTAGAGGAAGGTCATTTCTGCACGGGCGGGCCGGCCAGGAGCATGCGGGGGGTCGTTGCTCACACGCAGGGGCCGGCACGGGCGCCGGGCAGAGGCCGTCGAGGGGCACGGGGGTGTGCTTGGACCGGGCGCGCTCACACGGCAAGGGCTGCTGGGCAGGCACCGCTGCAGGCCCGGGCCCCACGGTCGCCCTTGTCCTCAGCGCCTGTGACCGCCTTGCAGAAATGTCGTCCTCAGAAGGGGGAGCGAGAGCCCCTTCTTAGGTGGCTGGCAGGCACCTTACGTGCAGACCACTTCAAGTCTGGTTTTTCATACCGGCTGTAAACCGGCTGCTCCGCTGAGCATCCTGTACCGACGTGACCAGAGCACAGGCGGCCCACACGAGGCCCGCGGGCCGAACCCGGCCCCCGCCTGGTTTTACCCGGCCTGGCACCTCGTCTCTACCCGGCGGCAGCTCCGAGCTCTCGCTCCGCTGTGAGGGAGCAGTTACACGTGTACAGTCCTGAGGTCGCCTCCGGCCCTTTGAGGGCCGCCGCGGGGCGGGTGTGGCCCCGGTGAGCGTGAGCTGGACGTCCTGCTGTAGCACTACCCCTGCGGTTGGGACGCTCCGGGAAGGCAAGACGGTGCTGCTCTGCTCTGCTCTGCTCTGCAGGGGAGGGGGTCTGGAGACTCGCTCGTCTGGTGAGGGAGCTGCAGGGCTGAGAAGGGCGCCCCCTCCCGTGGCCGCGTCAACCGTGGCTGACGTGGCCCCCGTCCGGTGCCACGAGGGCTCTGCCGGCGCGCCCGTCCTTGGGCCTTGACAAAGCAGAGTGCCGTGACGTGCCCCTGAGCCCCGGTCTGTGCCGGGGGTGTGCCCTGGCGGCGACGAGTCTAGGTGGCGGTGCACGGCTGCTGCGGCTCGGTGTCTGCAGCTCACCCGCTGCCCGGGCGGCCCTGCGGCGCCCACTAGTCCGGGTGTCCCACACACGCGGTGGTCTGACCCGTCTCCACGCTGGGAGGGCCTGCTCCGGCCACAGGGTGGAGCCAGTGACCGAGTGCCGAGCCGACAGCCCGGCCTGCAGGAGGCGGCGTCAGCGTGGTTGGTTTTTTCACATTAATGAAGCACAGTCACGTTAAACGTATGAACCACCGACAGTCACAGCTGACCTTCACACGCATGTGAATGTAGCCAACGCACAACCTCCGACTAAATGACTGCCCTTGAACTGGTGGGACCACGTGGCAGAGCTCTCCCGCTGAGGGAGCCCGCGGTCTCACAGGTCTGGGGCAGTGGGCGGCCCCAGCAGGAGCCCCCCGGTCCCGTCCCCGTCAGGTTCCAGTGTCCTCGGGGTCTGCCCCGCGCCCCCTGCTGGGTGGCCCCTGTGCGAGTGGGGGCTGCCGCCGCAGCCACGCCCCGCCGCCGTGTCTTGCAGAGCTGCAGAAACTGGAGGGCGGCGGTGGACCTGTGCGGGCGCCTCCTCACGGCCCACGGCCAAGGCTACGGCAAGAGCGGGCTGCCCACCAGCCACACGGCGGACTCGCTGCAGGTACGGCCCCTCGGACGCCGCTCTGCGCTCGGGTTCGTGGGGACGGGGGTCACGGCCAGGACCTCGCGTGACAGTGAGACCAGTCTGAAAACAGAGTTCCCGAGTTCAGGATCGCCGTGCCCCGAGCCCAGTCCCCCCGTGAGACGACCCTGGCCCTCCCCTCTGTGCCCACATGGTGTGGGCCGCACTTGTCACGGGGCGCTGGGCTGCAAGGGCCCGGGGGCGGGGCCTCGGGGAAAATGGGGGCCCTTGGAGGGGGGATGCGCACTTCGTCGGGGTGGGGGCCTCCCCAGTGTGACGCCAGGTGTTTGCACGTGACACGGTGCGGGGACCGGCGTCGTGAACACGGGGCGGGGGGGGTGGGGGGGGCGGCGGGCCGGGTCCTCACCCGCCCCTCCCTCCCTGGGAGGGTTCCGTGCGGGGTCCCGGGCCATGGGGGTGCCCGGGCAAGCCCGTGCCCGGCGTCTGCGCCCACGGTGGCTGGAGGGCAGGAGTCACGCTGTCCCCTCACCCCTGCAGCCCCACCTGCTCACATGCGCAGGGGCTCTTCTCCTGAGTCCCCGAGCTTGTCCTGTCCCCGGCCCCACCCCGGCCCCACCCCGGCCCCACCCTCACTGCGGGGCCGCCCAGCCCCCTCGTGGCCCGACCTCGGGGCTCCCCGCTGCCCCTTCTTCAGTGAGCTGCCTCCAGGCAGTCTTGTGCAGTGAGGTCAGCCCACTGCCCCATGGAGGCCCCCACGGCCCACCTGCCCGCAGGGGCCGCTGGCCTCTGAGCCCTTGGCTGCTGGCAACGAGGTCGGGTCAGTGCGTTTCTCAGTGGCTTCTCCCCTCAGCGCCTGGGACTCCGCGGCTCTCCCGTGGGTCTCCCTGCACTCTCCTGAGGGTGCGGCTTGCACGTGACCCCTTCCCACTGCGCCCCATCCGGTCCGAGCGGCCGCCTCCGGCCCAGACACCCCAGCACCAGCGTCCACGCCCCCTGGGCGGCCTTGCTGCCTCCCCTCCCCCATCCCCGCCCCAGCCCCAGCCTGTGGCCCCCCTGGGGAGGGGGTGGCCGTGTCTGTGCCCGGGGCGCACACTCCGAGCACACACCCTGCCCCGGAGGGCCCTGGAGCGTCAAGAAGACCGCTCACATGGCCGTGGCCGTGTGGCCGTGCAGACAGCGAGGACGGGTAGCCCAGCCCTCGTTCTGACGGGCGTGCGAGCCCTGACGGCCTCTCTTTCCCTCGTGCCTCCAGCTCTGGTTCGTGCGGCTGGCGCTGCTGGTGAAGCTGGGCCTCTTCCAGAACGCCGAGATGGAGTTCGAGCCCTTCGGCGACCTGGACCAGCCGGACCTCTACTACGAGTACTACCCGCACGTGTACCCGGGGCGCAGGGGTGAGGCGGCGCCGCCCGCGTCCGTGCCGCGTCCTTGGGTCCACCATGGTCGCCCCGTGGCGGGAGCGAGATGCGTGGCCTGGCCGGGAGCCCCCAGAGGCAGGGCCCTCGCCGCCTGTCCTCTCCCCCGCGCGTCTGGACACGCGTGCAGCTTCTCCACACGTGTGCACCGCGGCCACTTCCCGGGCGCCAGCCCGAGTCAGCAGCCGGGGGGCACCAGGGCTGACTCCATGCCGTCCCCCCAGCCTCTGCTCTGATGTGTGTTTAAGAATGCGGGTGCAGCCCTTCCGCGGGCCGGGGAAGTGAGCACCATGAACGTGTCTGGCAGACAGCCCGTCAGATGTCGGGGTGTGGTGGGGGCCGTCGGGAGGGCCTGGTGCCCAGAGCCGGGCCCTTCCCCACGATGGCCGGCATCTCCGCCAGCTCCGGCAGGATGTCGGTCGGGGGCGTGCAGCGCCAGTTCCGCAGGTCCCGCGGGTCCTGAGCGGGAGCAGCACTGGCTCCTGGGGGCTGTGCAGCCTGTCACGGCGTCCCACCAGACCCGTCCGCCCGCTGCCATCTGCTGCGGGGCTGCCCGGACGGCTGTGGGAGCAGCATGGGGCCTGGCTGGGTGGGAGCTCAGCACAGGCCAGGCCAGGCCAGGGCACCGGCCCAGGCAAAGCCGCCAGGACAGCCCCGAGCGGTCAGCCAGCGTCTGACCTGCGGAGGGAAAGGGGGCCCTGCAGCGGTCCGGGCCTCAGGGGGACAGTGCCCGTGTGTCCCCTTTTCCTGTGGGGCCCCTCAGGTTTTTGTGGACGCCCTTCCGTAAGCGAAGGGAGTCGTCCCCCGCCCCAGTTTGCTGGCGGTCTCCACCATGGACGGGGCCGTGTTCTGTCACGTGGCCCGGGCCGCGGTCGACGCCCCTGCGGGTTTTCTCGCTGAGGCTGCGTGACGGGAGGGGCCGCCTCAGTGGGCTTTTCAGCGTCGGCCCGACCCGCCTCCCTGGGGGGCGGGTCCCCGAGGCTCCTCCTGCGGAATCCTCTCTGCCCACTGGGGCCCGCCCTGCGTGCTGTGGGGGGAGTTCTGCGTCCACGGGCGGGAGCCCCGCTGGTCTGCCACTTTCCTTCTCGGAACGTCTCTGGCTCTGGTACGGGGGTCACGCTGGCCCCCAAGAGTGAGTTAGGAAGCCCCTCTGCTTCTGTTTGCTGAGGGAGAATTCAGGGAGCTGGGACCACTTCCCTCACAGGTTTGGTAAAACTCGCCAGTGAGGCCATGTGGGCCCGACGCTCGCTTTTTTGGAAGGCTTCCTAATTTACTTTTTAAATAGACGTTGGCCTGTTTAGGCTATTTGCTTCTTGTGTGAGGCTTAGTAGGTGGTGCTGCCAAGGAATTGACCTTGGGCTCCAAGGCACACGTGCGCACACACGTGCACACATGCATGTGCGCACACGCCTCAGAATTGGTCTAGAGCCACGTCCTCAGGACCTGGGCCCCGACCTCGCCCCCGGGGCCCCTCGGCTGCTGGCAGCCCCTCCCTCAGGGCCTCCTGCTGGGGGGCTGGAGCCCAGCAACACCCCTCACCCGGTGAGCTTGTGTCCGGAAGCCCGGGGCCGGGTTCCTGCGCTGGAGGCGGGGCGGCCCTGCCGCAGCAGGTGGTGGGACAGTTGGTGCCGGCCGGGGCACTGCTGTGGGAGTGGCGGCCACCCACCTGCCCTCTGGTGGCCGTCCAGAGCGCGCGCCGTGACAGAGCGGCCCGGCGGCCCTGCTGCTCGGAGCCTGCCGGGCTCCTCCCGGCGCGCGGGGCAGGGAGGCCTGCGGCCACCTCTGACGCTGACCGCGGCCCCGACCTCCCCGACCTCGGCTGCAGGCTCCATGGTGCCCTTCTCCATGCGGATCCTGCACGCGGAGCTGCACCAGTACCTAGGCCGCCCCCAGGAGTCGCTGGACCGGCTGCACCGGGTGGAGGCCGTCTGCGGCAAGGTGAGGCTGCGCCCCCCCCCCCCCAGCCCCGGGCCGGCAGCTGGCCCGGCGCCCAGCCCGTTGGGGTGTTGGGTACACGGCCCAGGAAACCTCTTCCGCCTGCGGAAGGCCGCCTTCCCTGAGGTCCCCTCGGCCCCAGCGGGGACCCGAGGGCCCCAGGATCTCACACAGAAGTCCCAGCCGCCCCGGGCGGACCTGCTCTCACCCTCGTCTGGGCTCCAGTGGGGCCTGAGTGAGCGGCCGGCCTTCGAGTCGGTGCCGGTCCCCCGGGTCTGCTCCAGGGTGCCCAACCCACCCACCCCGCCCCGAGACAGCCCCTGACGGCCGCCAGATGGACAGGCACATGGCCGCCTCCTCCTGACCCTGGTCCCAGGCTGTCGTCAGCCTGGGTGTGGCCTGGAGCCGGTCGGGAGCACAGGGCGAGGGCTGCTCCGCGGGCCCCCGGGTCGGAACTGGCCGTGCAGAACCGCAGATTCCAGGTCGTGTGTGCACACGTGTCCCCGAGCGCCCGGGCCTCCGGGGCTGGTGTGGCCGTCCCCAGGGGCTGGGGAGGCTCTCTGGGGGGCCAGCGTGGGTGTGGCTGACCCGCCCAGCCCCCCAGGGCGCAGTCACGGCCTCCTGCCGACTGGGAAGCAGCCCTGTCCAGACCCTCCTCCTGCCCCACAGCTCTGCCCGGGCCCCCAGTCCCCGCCCGTCCGTCCGTCCGTCTGTCAGTCCTCAGGTGGCGTCCAGGCGCTCCAGAAACCACTGCGTCCCAGGTCATCGCTGCTCTCAGGGACGGGCTCAGGCTGAGGGTCACGCCTCCCTGCCCCCTCCTCCTCCTCTCCCCATCCCCCCGCCGGTCAGCCTGTGGGGTCAGCGGGCAGGCCGGAGTGGACTCGGCCCTGGACAGGGGCCTCCCCACAGCGCAGCCCGTGTGCAGGGCGCTCACCGACGTGGCCGCACTGTGTCCGTCCGCACTCAGACTGTGGTTCCCACCCACCCAGGCTCTTGGGTTGTGGCTGGTCTTGCTCCTGGGCCCCTGCCTTCCCCGAGTCCCGTCCCCCCAGCCTAGTGAGTCCGGCCGGGGAGGGCCGCTGGCCACAATGCAGCGAGCGGTGAGGCTGGGAGCGGGTCCGAGCAAAATGTTCCCTGGCAGACCGCCCTCCCAGAGTGGGTGCTCCCAGAGTGGGGGCTCTGGGGCGACAGGAACGTCCAGGAGCAAGACCGTTCCTGGTGACCCACTCCCGTGTGACACCCGCAGATCCTGGCGCACCTGGAGCAGGGCCTGGCCGAGGACGGCAGCGTGGGCACCATCACGCCGGAGAACAGGCAGGGTGAGTGTGGGCCCCACGGGGTCTGCCTGGTCCCGGAAGCTCCGGTCCTTCCCAGGCTCCTCCCTCTTCCCTGGGGGGGGGGGCCATGCCCCCCCCTTGCTTTGGGGCTCTGTGTGGTGGGTCCCAAAGAGTGAGACTGCATGACCCGGCTCAGGGCTCAGGGCAGCCTGGGTGCAGGGGACCCGTGGCACCACCCAGTCCCAGGGACGGGTGTCAGCTTCCTCGGGGAGGCAGGCACTGCGGCGGGAGGGGGCACCCCTCCTGGTGTGAGGAGGGGGAGGCGGGCCCCGTGGGCAGAGCCTGGTGAGGCCGATGATGACCCGGGGCTCTGTCCTGAGTGCCGGGCAGCGGGGCGGCCTGCGGGCTGAGACCCCCACTCCCACCTGGCCGCGAGCTCTGGAGAACGAGAGAGGAATGAGCTTCCACTCAGCTTCTGTGCCCAGCGCAGGTGGCACACCTGTGGCAGGTGGCACCCCCATGATAGGCCCTCGCCTCCCACCCCTCGGGGCAGCGCCTCTGCACGGGAGCCCCGGGTGCCGACACCCCGTTCCCGCAGTGTCCGTCCTGCTCTGAGTCCCCTCCGTGGTCTGGGGCCCGGACTGCGCTGGCGAGTGCTGGGCCTCCTGTGAAGCTGTACCCCGAGGGGAGAGAGGTGGGGGGCGGGTGGGGCAGCCTGCAGAGGGGCGAGGGGCGGGGAGTGGGTCCTCGGGGGGGGGCGCTGGCACTGGGGTGGGGGGGGTTCACTCCTACTGGAGAAGTCCCGTGACCCCCAGGGCCGTGGCCGTGTCCTTCCCAGTAATGCTGTGGCCGGTGTGTCCACGAGGCCCGCCCCCAGCTCCGTCCCACCGCAGCGCGGGCCTGGTGGGGACGAGCCGAGCGTTGCCGCGTCTTGGGGGCCTCACAGCGAAGCGCAGATCTGTCAGGCGAAGGGGCAGGGCCAGCCAGGGAGAGGTCGGAGGGTCGCCGTCTGCGGCTCCCGGACGGTCCACCGCCACCTTCGGGGGAAGGAACCCGGGCGGAGCTCCGAGCCCCGGGCCGGGGGGTGGGGGGGGGGTGGGGGGGGTGCGGGGGCGGGCGCGGGCAGTCTCCCCGTGAAAGGCTGGGAAACGGGCTGGGGCAGCGGGCCCTCCCTGCTCCCCGTGGCTCAGAGGGCTGGGGGTTCTCCAGGCGCTGACGCTGGCCCCGAGGTGGGCCTTGACTGCCCTCCCACTGCTCCTTTCCCGGCCCCCGTCGGCACGCGGGCAGTGGCGCGGGGGTGGGGGGCGGCCGCGGCCTGGGAACAGACCGCATGCTCACCGCCGCCCTCCCCTGCAGCCTCCGTGCAGCTGTGGCGGTCCCGCCTGGGCCGGGCGACCTGCTCCATGGCCAACTGCCTGCTGCTGATGAAGGTGCGTGTGCCCCAGGGCGGGGGGGGGGGGCCAGTGCCCACTGCCCCGGGGAGGGCAGCAGCGTGGAGGGCGTTCACTGCCAGGTTCCACCTCGCAGCCCGGGGCCATGGTGACTGGACTGCAGCTTCGCTCCAACTCCCCCGCAACCCCCACTCTGTCCGGGTTTCTCTGGGTTCTGTCCGGGTTTCTCTGGGTTCTGCCCGGGAAGGCAGCTCCTGCCCTCCGCGTGTTGGGGGGGCGTCTGCCCCCGTCTGGGTGTGACGTGATGCAGGAGGCTGTGCTTGCAGCCCCTGAGGGGCAGTGCTGGTCGGGCGGCGGAGGCTGGGCTGCGGTGGCTGGGCTGCGGTGGCTGGCCCTTTGTCTCCTCCAGTCCCTCCCGCCTTCCTCCGGCAGGCTGGCCCTGTGCAGCCTGTGCAGCGGGCTCCTCCCCTAGGGGGGCGCCTGCAGCACGCAGCCCGTCCCCCTTCCCCGCCGCAGCGGCGGGTGACCTGCTCTGAGGCAGCCCGGCTGCCAGCTGCTGGGGAATTAGGAGCACTTGTGGGGGCACCCCCTGTGGTCCCTGAGGTCACTCCCAAGCCGGGTTCCCCCCCACACCAGCAGAGCAGGCAGGCAGGCGGTCTCCCAGGCGGCGTGGGGGGTGCGCCTGCAGGGCTCTGCTAGACCCTGCTGCGGCAGCCCTGCTCTCCATGCAGGCTCCCCTCCCGACCCGACGGGGCCGCCCTGGGCGCAGGGAGGGCTTGGGTGCAGGGGCACACTGGGAGCCTCCGGGCTCGGTCCATCTGGTCACAGAGAGGTGCGGCCGGGACCTGCTGCCCGGGGCCAGCACCGGGCAGTCCCCACACCGCTGGTGTGCGTGGCCCTGGGGCGCCCGGGAGCTCCGGGGCGTCAGCAGCCCCTCAGCCCAGTGGGCGGGGCCGGGGGCGGGGCTCTGTCCTCAGAGCGTCTCACCCCCCCCCCACTCCTCCCCTGGAAGGCGACAGTGCCAGGCCCTCACCTGTGGTCAGGAGCAGTGCCCTCCCCGCTTGGTGCGAGGGCGAGCTGGCCTCTGTCCTGCCGAGGGGCAGGGCGCGGGTCTCTGACCAAGTGGGTGGGCGGGCGAGGCAGGCGCTGCCCGGGGACACCGGTGGCTTCTAGAGCAATCTCATCCCCGACGTCTCTGGGCCTCTCCCCCCAGGACTACGTGCTGGCCGTGGACGCGTACCGCTCGGTCATCCAGTTCCACCCCGAGCAGGAGCCGCAGCTGCTCAGCGGCATCGGCCGCATCTTCCTGCAGGTGGGCGCTGCGCCGTGCGGGCACCACGGGGCAGGCAGGGGCTTCGGGGCAGGCAGGGGCTTCGGGGCAGCGCAGGTGTGAGGGGACCGGACGCTGCAGCCGCAGCTGGTGGGCCTGAGAAGCACGGCTCGAGGTGGGCGGGGGGCTCAGTGCGGGGACCTCAGTCTGGGCTGACCGGGAGGGACGGGCGTGGTCCCTGTGTGCAGAGCTGCGGGGGGGGGGGGGATGGGGGGTGCCCGCCCAGACCCCCCCGAAGGAGGGCGGCGTGTGTCTGCTGCAGCCTCGCTTGCACACTGTCCACGGAGGACGGGCCGCTGGCCGCCGCCGCAGAGCCGTGTCCTAGGTCCCTGCGCTCAGGACTGCGGGGAGCCGGGCCTCCGGATCTGTGTGGCCTTCCAGCGCACTTCCCAGAGCCCCGGGTCCAGTTTTCATCGGTCTTCCCCAAGCTCCTGAGGGCTGCCCTCCGCTCTGCGCCCTGCACTCTGCCTGGGGTTGTGGGGGTTCGGAACCCTCTGTCCTCTGAAGGTTCGGACAGTCCACCCCGGGGGGCCGGTGCTGAGCCCTCGGCCCTCCACCCCGTGCTGGTGGGGGTGTCCCGCGGGTGCGTCCCTGCCTCGGCCTCTGGGCCGAGTGTGGTGACTCGGCTGGAGAAGCCCTCTCCGCCGCCGCCGCAGGGCCCGGCACAGCTGCACACGCTCCTCTTTCCCGGGGACTCTTGGGTCCCCGCTGCCGCCCGGCGCCACCTCTCCCTGCGCAGGCGGGACCGGGAGCGATCTGTGTGCCTTTTCTCGGTGAGCTCGCCCTCACTCCTGTGTTCTTTGAACGACCGGAGAGGCTGTTGGCTCCCCGGACGCTCGGCGGCACTCCCGGTTGCCTCTCCACGCCGCCCCTCTCAGGAACGACAGGCTGCGTCACCCTTCAGGCAGCCTCTGTCCGAGAAAACCTGTCGGTTTTAAGTCCATGGCCTTCTAGTGACGGTGAAGGCGTGAACTTAGCACCAGGAAAATCAGTAGGTGGCAAAGGACATTCCAAGATTTCTCTGTTTTTTTCACTGAAACGGCCCCAGTGCCAGATGCGGGTCAGCTCCACGAGGTGCGCAGAGGCCCGGCCCGGAGCCCGTCTGCCTGCGGGAGCCGCGTGGCCCCGGACTGGCGCCTGCCCCCTCTGAGCCTCGCGGGCCCCCCCCCCAGCTGAGGACAGCTGAGGCTCGCATGAGGGGGGCCCTGCCAGCGCCCGGCCACGGCCATCATCACCCCCGTGTGTCAGCCATGCTCTCTGCGCCCCCGTGGGAGGGCTCAGTGACCGTGGGCAGGGCAGGGAGCGCGGGTCCGGGGGTCGAGCCTGCACGAAGTGGACAGGCCACAGACGGGCCGGGGGTGCTGTGGGTGGACACGGCTGCTCTCTCCGGGGGTGTGTCTCACGTGTGTTCCCTCTGTTTTCCTGCCCCCGAGGGCGTGTGTGGTGGGCCCCATGCACAGCCGGGCCCGGTCCGAGACCTGGCCTTGCAAGCTGTGAGGTCGGCTGCGGGTTTCACGGGTGCTGGGGGAGGGCGTGAGGTCACGGGCCCCTCACAGCACTCACGGTGTCGAGTCCACTGTGGGGTCCGTGCTCAGAGCCCTGCGTGTGCACCCCGGTCTGGGGACACAGCGGCTCCCACCCCCCGTCCGAGGCAGCTCTCGGCCCGTGGGTCTCGGGAGCACCAGGACACCGGCCTCATTTTGCTTCCTCGGCAGAGGGACCTGCCCGCCCCACGGGGCGGCGGCGGCCGTCAGAGGCCCCGGCGGATCCTGGTGTGTCTGACGAGCGTGGGAGCGGGTGGTCTTTCCCTTTCCCGCGGAGTTCTGTGCTGCCGGGTCAACAGGACCCAGAGACCCTCGCACGTTGCTGTCTCTACCGTCTTCCTGGCCGCGGCCAGTGAGCCGAAAACCGTCGGTCTGAGGCCCGCGTATCGTGCCGGGCTGAGAACGTCGCCCTCCTTCACGTAGCCGTTCCTTTCACCCTGCGCCGCCGCGCCAGGCCCCCAGGAGAGGCCGCGTGCGTTCGGTGTCTGAGCCGCCTTCCACCGCGTCCCGAGTGGCTCCGCGGTTTCTACAAAAAGCCGTGGTAATACACGGTCACAGCACCTGCTTGTCCTGCCTGACGTGTGAACGTCTCCGCGACGAGACGCCGGAGAGCTGCGTGCGAGGGCGCGGCTGCGTCCCCGGAGCCGACTACAGTACACGCCCTCGTCCCCGCAGATCGGAGACATAAAGACGGCGGAGAAGTACTTCCAGGACGTGGAGAAGGCGGCCCAGAAGCAGGACGGGCCGCAGGGGAGGACGGTGGTGCTGATGAACAGGTGGGCGCGCGTGCCCCGTGGGGCGTCTGCCCCCGTGTCCGTGTCCCAGCCCGGGGCGCCGGGCCCAAGCGGGGCGGGCGGTTGGCCGGACCGCAGGGACCTCCCTTCGGCCACACACGTGTGTGCTCGGCGGCCTTTTCCCGGTCGTCTGGAGGACCCACGCTGCCCTTCCCAGCTCCAGCGAGCCTCGGAGTGGCCCGCTGACCCCGTGGCGGGCACCGGCCCCGCCTGCTCGGGGTGACACGGGGGAGCCGCCCGTCCGACTCGCGGGGGCACACCACACCAGCGTCCTGACCGCAGCTGATGGACACTGCACTTGTCGCTTGTGTTCCAGAGCTTTCCTTCACCTCGGCCAGAATGACTTTGCAGAAGCGCACAGATTCTTCACGGAAATTTTGAGGATTGACCCCACAAATGCCGTGGTAAGGCGCTCCCGAGCGGTAGGTCTCCCGCCGGCGGCCCTGTCCGCCCCCTGCCCCCCGGGTGGTGGCCGAGAACGCCCCCTGGCGCACAGAGCATGTGCCCAGGCCTGACCGGCACCCCCCCCGCCCCCAGGCCAACAACAACGCGGCCGTGTGCCTGCTCTACCTGGGCAGACTCAAGGACTCGCTGCGGCAGCTGGAGGCCATGGTGCAGCGCGACCCCGGGCGCTGCCTGCACGAGAGCGTGCTCTTCAACCTGAGCACCATGTACGAGCTGGAGTCCTCCCGCAGCGCGCAAAAGAAGCAGGCCCTGCTGGGGGCCGTGGCCGCCAGGGAGGGCGACAGCTTCAACACCCAGTGCCTCAAGCTGGCCTAGGCCGGGCTGCACCGAGGAGCCGGTCTGCGAACCTGGGGGGGCCTCTCGCTGGGAGCTCAGGGCCCGTGTCCTTGGTGCTCGATGCAGCCAGCTCGACCCACAGCGCTGCGCCGTCCGAGGACGGGGGCCCCAGACAGGACCCTCGCCGGCCTGAGTGCTCCACTGGTTGTGAGTGCCCCGGAGAAAAGCCGCACACGCACCTGCACCATCCTCGCTCTGCGCCTGCATGCCCAGGGTGCCGGGAGCAGGCAGAGACACCCAGTGAGACTCGCTTCTCTCCTCCCACCCCCAGGCCGAACACAACCGTCTCACTCCCGACGCCCATTCAGCCCCTGTGGAGCCCCTTGGGCGAGCCGGGCCACAAGGGCGGGCTCTGGGTTCTGCACGTCCCAGGGAGGTGGGGTGTGCGGGGGAATCTGTCGGAGAATCCGGGTGCTGCATCGCTGCCCCGGGCAGGTGTCCAGAGGGGCGTCTGCTCTCCCACCCGGACGTCCCTGCAGCTCTCAGCCGGCCCCTTCTCCCCAGAGAAGCCCCCGCCGGGGTGCACCTGGCAGCTGGGTTTGCCGGGGCCTCCGGGGTGGCACTGGTGTCTCAGACGGACGCAAGTGTGTGCACACCTAGCGCAGCTGTGTCCTGTCCGTGTCGGTGACAGAGCGACCTCAGTGCAGTGGTTGAAACAGGTCAGCTACGCGCCGAGGCGGAGGAAAGGACGAGGTGGCCAGGGGCCTGTTGGGGCTTTGGAGTCTCTCTCCTCGAGGGGAGGGAAGAGGCCCCGGCTGGGGTAGCCCCGCGGGCGGGCGGTGTCCAGCACAGCGAAGGGGCGCAGGCCCAGGCTGCGGGTTCGGTCCCCGGGCGGGGTGCGCCCAAAAGGCCACTGGTGGGTTTCTCTCTCACATCAATGTTTCTCTCCCTCTGTCCCCCCCTTCCTCTCTAAAATCAAAAATAAAATTAAAAACAGGGAAATGTAAAGTCCTCTGTTTCACAAGCCCCCAGATCTGACATCATTTGAACCCCTTCACCGAGAGCGGTTCCCTCAGCGCTGGCTTGGGCAGGGCGAGGAGACTCAGCCTGCTGCTGGGACCCGGCCGGAGGCCGCAGAGCCATCCCCTCCCCAGGGACCTGCGTCCGGGTCAGCAGTTGAGGACGGTCCCTGGTCAGTTGCACAGAAAAGCAGGTGACGCTGGACAGAGGCAGGCTGGCTGGAGCAGGGCCCGGCGCCCCTGGATGGGGACCTGCTTCCGGGTGACTCTGTCACTGCAGCTAACGGATCGGCCCCAGCGGAGACGAGAGAAGAAACCCCGTCCTGAGCTTTGGGACGCGGAGACTCGGGACACAGGGACTAGGAGCCATGAAAACCCAGAGGCAGGAGCCCACGGCCGTGCACCTGGGATGGCAAGGACCTTCTCGCCCGCTGGAGGGCTGCTGCCCACAGGGCCTGTGGGAGAGCGTGCACCCGAGGGGGCCTGGGGACAGGACACCCCCCGGGTCCCACCCACCGGTCACTGCTCCCGCGCACACGGCCAGCAGCCCTGTCCTCGGCTCGTTTCCTGCAGGCCCGGCTCCACTCGTTCTACTTCTCGCCTTAGGCCCCGGTAGCACCTCTGGGTGCAGGGCCACTGCCGGGCCACTGCCGAGAAGGCTTTTCCTCGGGCTGCCCACTGTCAGCGCTGTTCTGCACGACAGAACCGCCCCGATGGCGCGTGCCTCAGACCGACGACTCACGCCAGTGGTGTGCCGTCCCCGCGGTCGCCGAGTCAGGAGCCTGGGAGTGGTCAGCGGGGTGCTGCCGGGCCCTCGGGAGGGGGTCCCGGGGCCCAAGGAGCTGGTCCCTCACGGGGCAGCGGCCCTCCCTGAACGGGACCCCAGGGAGCGGCAGGGGACCAGCGCCTTCTGGCCTGGTGGGAGCCGCCACGCCCCGCCCGGGGGGAATGCGTCGCCAAGTCCGGCCCACCCACGAGGGGAGGACCGGGCTCCGTCTTTCGGGAGCATTGTCCAAGAACTTACGGACGTATTTTTAAATCCCCACACTTTCAAAAAAAATCTTCATGTTTCATTGGATTTGGGGCCACAGGGAGCAGACCGAGCGTTCTGCCGCCCCCACACGTGCACGCCCTGCGTGGAAATTCGAGTGGAGCACTCGAGTGGAAGTGCAGAGTCCCCGGGACTTCCAGGGCGAGTGTCCCAGCACCAATCTGGGGGCTCGGGAGACAGCGTTAACACAGAGCCTTTGTATTCCAGTTCCAACAATGCATAAGACAGTCTGCCCTTCAAAGCATGATTTTAGTTTTTTAAAATGATTGTAACAAAGTAGGCATAATTGCATCTCAGAATTATTGAGTAAAAAATTAATGTACCATTTCCTTGTTAAAGTTCAAAAGCTTGATTGTAACAATATATATCAGGGAGTTTGACCTAGAAATCTCACACTAAACCAAGTGGCACACAGAATAGGAATTACATGATCACACAAAGATGATCACACGTGGGTGATCTGAGGGAGCCACGTGCACCTGCATTTAAGGGGGCGCCAAGGCACAAGCCCAGAGTTAAGGCAGCTACTTAACCGAGGAAGCGGTGTGAGCAGCTGCAAGACCCCTTCCTGGGAGAGCTCGCCCCGCCCCCAGCCCCAGCCCCACCCCCGCCCGTGTCCGGGTGCGCTTTACCAGCCGGTCCGGCCTCTGCTGGCTCCGCCCGCAGGTGGGCGTGGCCTTGACTGCCAGCTGCTGAAAGACGCGGAATCGGTCCCCACGGGGCAGCTAGGCCGTGAGGCGTGGGGACGTGGGACTCATGGGGGTTCACGTGGAACCGTGTGTGGTGCCAGTCGACAGGGTCACAGGAAAGGGAGGGGACTGCCCGCGTTCCCAGTGGCTTCGACGTGAAAGTCAGTCTTATGGCTCCTCGCACTAAAACGTATTCCGACCAAATAATCTCGCAAAGCGAAGCTCTCCCAGCCCCCAGCCCACACCACAGACACGAGGACACGGCAGACCGCCTGCCCTTATCCCGCGCAGGAGCCGGCGCCAGGGGCGCGCGCCGCTACGCCGTCTGCGCCAGCAGCGCCACGTACTGCTCCCGAGCCGGGAAGTGGTCGGCCGGCCGGTTGTACGCCGTCCACACCGGGTCGCCCACAAACAGCCGCATGGCCTTCACGTAGTTCTGCAAAACACACACAAGCACGGACACCACTGCGTCACCCCGGCTGTCGGGACGACGGTCCCCGCCTCGTGGAGCTCTCGCGCCTCAGCACGCTGGTCACACGCCGCCCCCACCTGCTCGTCCAGCGTGAAGCGGTGGTAGATCCCCGCGGGGAGGGTGATCATGTCCCCCTTCTCCATGGCGATCCGGATCCAGCGGTCCTCCTCGTCCCGCACGTCGAAGTACCCGCTGCCGTCCAGGACGTAGCGGATCTCGTCGTCCAGGTGCAGGTGCTCCTCGTAGAACATCTTAATCTAGAGCACGGGGGCGGGCTCTGAGTCTGGCGCGGCCCGGCTGCGGCGGGGCGCACTCAGCCTCCGGCCCCAGACCCGAGCGAGGCGGGTGGAGACTCTCGCGGAAGAAAGCGGAGGCAGCGCAACGGGAAGGAGGGGGCGGGACTAGAACAGTTTGTGAAACTATCAATCACCGAACAGTTAAAGAATGAACGCCCACGTGGCAGTCAGCAGGGGCCGGGCAGAGTTCCACACTTGCGCCAGGCCTCCCCGGGGTGCTGACCTAGTGCCCGCTGGACGGTGAGGAAACAGGGCACAGAACGGCCAGGTCGCTGCCCCGGCGTCACACAGCCACACAGCTCGTGCGTGCAGAGCACGGCTCCCAGACACACCCTGGCTCCTGCTCACGGCCCAGCACGGACAACACAAGCACAGTCATGTGACCACACTGCACGGGCAGAAGCCACAAGAAAGTCTGAGGGAGGCAGCCACATCTTAACAAACGGAGAGTTTCCATCTGTCCGCCCCCACGTTCGTGTCTTTCCCCCGACATAACAAAATACACCAACGCGCGTCACTCTGCTGTGGGACCCAAGGGGCGCGCTAAAGAGACCTGCGTGTCCGGAGTGACTAACGAGGCCCCCTTGCCAGCGACCCCGCGCGCGTCACCTTCTCTTCGTAATCCGGCAGCCTCTCTCTGCAGATGGTGATGATGTCCATCCACGAGTAGTTTCTCTCCCTCCGGATCTTCTCCAGTTCTGGGTCGTCCTCGTACCTGTCAGCATCCAGCTGGAAGGGTCCCAACAGCAGAAAGGAGGGCACGTCAACGCGCGGACACGCGTGGTCCTTCTCTCCCAAGGCTCCCCGCCCCAGCTCTGTCACTCCTGACCGACCGTCCTTCCCGGCCTCCCCGGTCTCTGGAGGCTTCCCCGTTCTCCCTAACACCTAAACAGAATGCAGCTGCGTTTAAGTCCCGCCTCCTGGCCCCCCAAGCCCTCCCCCGGGCTCCTCTTCACACTCGCGTCCCCCGCCCCACCCCCACTCAGGGCTCCGGGCCGGCCTCCGGCCTGTGCAGGCCACGCCCCCCTCCCAGGCGTCCCCTCTGCCAGCCTCCACCCCGCAGTCCCGCGGAGCTCCCGTGGCCTCTGCTGACCCTCGGTGTTCCCGGGGTCAACACGTCTGCATGCATCCTCAGAGCCTACAGGTAACGCCCAAGTTCAGGCTGGGTCGGGGCCTTCTGTCATCTGGTCCCAGGAGCCCTTTCTTCCAAACCCTGTCCCTACTCACTTTTTTTTTTTTAAATGTACACTATAAACCAAATGGGAGAACTTGCTACTCTTCGAACATTCTTGATGCGACACTTCCCACGCCCTTGCTCCCGGCCGCTTCCCACACCTGAGACGGTCTCACCTGTTCCTTCACCACCGCCCGCGCGCTCTTTAAGGTCCTGTATCAATGCCACCTGTATAAAGCCCCTCCCCCAGGGAGCAGCTGGCCAGAGTCGGTCCGAACTCCTGATGGAAACCACCGGCAGTGAATCGAGCACGTTTCGCTGTGAGTTGCTACAGGACGCACACGGTATCAGGAGGACCGAACGCCAGACTCCAGGATATCTCGAACTACTGGTCGTGAACACAGTAACCTCTGCACAGATCACTCCGAAAGGGAGCAGATCCGCCACGGCGAGGCACACCACCCCCCCGCTCCACGGCCGTCTAACACGAAATCAACCGTGTGAGGGACGGACAACTTCTGCCGCGCCCCGGGCCACCCGGAGCGCGTGCGCACTGCGCTCCTCGGTTTCCCCGGCCAAGACCACAGGCCACAGGCCACAGTGAACGTCAGGCGGCCTCTGCCCTGGTCACCGGGATCCAGAAGGCGGGGCCTGGGTTTGGCCCGCGGGTAACTCAAGGGCACCTCCAAGGCCTATCTAGCGCCTTTGCGGTTCCCTGGGCGGAGACTGCCTCCCAGGCACCGGGACGCGGCCGAGGGCGGCCGGGGCCCCTTCTGGACGCTCGGGCTGTGGGTGTCTTCACTTTATTCTCAGACAAAACTTGTTTCCCTGCCGTAGCGGACACTGCCAGCCCTTTCATTGCTCAGAGGAGTCCCATCTCAGCCCAGGAAGAGAGAAACACCAGGGGAAGAGGAATGAACGCACGCACAGCAGACACGCAGATTGAACCCCATGCCGGCCCCGCCGGGACCTGCGCCAACAGCGCGGACCTCGCAGCAGCGGGGCCGCCCCGGCCCGCACCCCTTGCCGCCGGCCCCCAACTGGGCCTGCCCGGTGTCACCCCGGCTCGTCACTCCCCGAGCCCGGGTCCTACCAGGCACCGCCAGGACCTAGAAAAGCCCGAGGCGGGGGCGAGGCCAGCCCGCTGCTAGTGAGCATGCGCAGTGCGCCCGGCAGGCCGACCCTCCTGCCCCACCGCTGAGCGTGCGCAGTGCGCCCTGGCCGCCGGCTACCCTTCCAGGCTGCTAAGCGTGCGCAGCGCGCCCCCGTCCTTTCCCGGCCGCCAACCCGCACTCGGCGGA